ATTCTTTTTTGGTATATACAATTTTATGAATAAACCAGAACTGGAAATCCAATCGCTTGATATCACTGTTACTGGTTGAGTTATATTTACAGAGGACAAGTTTCGGTGAAGTTTGTTTAGAATGAACTTCCTATATTCCTAGTCATAGGTGGTTGGAGCCTTCGGAGAGTTTTTCGGAAGCTAATAATGAATTGTTACTTTACCTAGTTTAGGCCAGACGAATTTTATTTCTTGTTTTACGGATCCGCTGGTCGTATTTTTTCAAGAATAAGAACAAAAATATAAATAAATTTTCCCCGCTCAAAAAATAAAATCCTAATATTTTTATTGGCCGAAAATGTAAACTTACAAGGAAACTTCTTTTAGATTGTTTTTTGCCCCATATACACTTCATAAATTCCCAAAAGTAAAATACTGTTAGTATTTAGAAGGAATATTACTTTGACTGGTCATTTTATTTTCATTGTTTTTCCCTCCTGCCTTTAGGTTTTCTGAGGACAAAATTCTGTAAAACAAGAAATAAAGTTGGTCTGGCCTTACCTTCAATGTTTGTTTAAGTAAAAAATCAGATATTAAACATTGTCCATCAAATACTGAAATACTTATGCTCGGCACACATTTCATCTACTTGGATAACACTGAAATACCCAACATGTTAGACAATGTAAAAACATATTGTAATAACTGTCAATGACAACATTTAGTGAACATAAAACAATGCATTCCAATGGTCTTTAATTTCATATGAGGCTCAATATGGCAATTTGTTTGAATTCTAATTTGATGCTCCACCAAAATTGATAAGTCAAAATATATACAAATATATATACAATTACAAAATTTGATATACAATAATTGTAGTTTCATACGTCACTCATGTTTTGTAAACAAATGCTACTACTGCAACGTGATGCGACGCGTGCGGCACGTGCAATACGTGATTGTGATTGCCCGATACGTGGTGTGGAGGCGAATGTCAGTTGAGCAATTTCACTTACATGGAAGGTCATTCATGGACTATTTATGTATTCAAATATTCATGTGGTATTGTTTTGTTTCTACAAATATGAATTACCATGAAAAGACATTCATGAACATATGAAACAACACATTTTTTACCGGAATTTTGGTAAAGATGAGACTATTAAGTAATGTTCTTGAAATTAATATTTAATAGTCTGGCTTTAAACCAGAGGTGAGGTGAGGTGAAATTGGGTTTAACGTCGTGCTTGAGAATATTTCGCTCATATGACGACGTGCATGCGTGTGTATGTGTATGTGCGGCTGCTTGTACTAGCACAGACTGAAGCTGGTTTTATAGTGCTAGCCCACTGAGATACCATGCCGCAGTGAAGCATGAATACCCCACTCAGACACATTATACTGACTCCGAGCCGACCAGTCCTTGTTGTACCCATTAATGAGGAGCGCCAAACAGGGACCATATTTTAACGTCTTTTGGTATGACGTGGTCGGGGATCGAACCCGCGACTTCCGCTCTCCGGGCGGACGCTCTAACCACTACACCACGGAGGCGGTCCTTTAAACCAGACATAGATATATACATGTATTACCAGTTGAGTTTTATTACAGAGGACAGGTTTCGGAAAAGTTTGTTTAGAAACGAGTTTTCTGTATTCCTAGTCATAGGTGGTTGGAGCTTTCAGAGGTTTTTCGGAAGCTACTAATGAATTGTCATTTTACCAAGTTTACCTTTATTTCATGTTTTTGTAACAACCCAGGTACTAAACATTGCCCATCAAATACTGAATTACCTATGTTTGGCACACATTTCATCTACTTGGTTAAGCATAGAAAATACCCAACATGTTAGACAGTGTGAAAATATATTGTAATAATTGTCAAGGCCTAAACAATGTGAACAAAAGATGTGATGTGTTTGAATATTTGAAAAGTCAAAAAGGACAAATATATTGTCTACAAGACACCCACTTTACATCAGATTTGGAACGTAATATCAAACAGGAATGGGGATCAAAACATTGTAAATTTAGTTCTTACAGAAGTAACGCCAGAGGAGTAGCAATTTTATTCAATAAGAACTTTGAATTCAAAATCAAAGAAGAAATTAAGGATGAAGAATTTGGAATCTACTTAGCATTAAAAATACAAATTGAAGAAAGAACAATTACTTTGATATCGGTGTATGGTCCCAATAGAGATACTCCAGAATTTATCAATAACATATTTGATATCATCAAACGCCTCGACTCAAAGTATTTTATTATTTGTGGAGATTGGAACATTATCCAAGATATTGAACTTGATCTTTATAATGACAAACATGTACATAACACTAAGGCGAGAGATGTATTCATAGAATATTTTGAAGAATTTAATGTTATTGATCCGTGGAGAGATAATAACTCTTTACAAAAGCGATATACGTGGCACCAACAAAACCCGAGAAAACAAGCTAGACTGGAATATTTCCTTTTATCAAGAAGTCTTGAGTTTTCTGTCACAAACACAGGTATAGATCCAAACTATAGGTCAGACCACTCATTACACTGATTTGCTTTGAAATTCAATGATGTAGAAAAAGGCCATGGATTTTGGAAATTAAATGACTCTCTTTTACGAGATAAAATATATGTTGACAAAGTGAAGGCAATAATCAAAGATACCATAAAACAGTATCAAAATAATACTAATGATGTAGAAATGCATTTCATGATTAATGATCAATTATTATTTGAAACAATTCTCCTAATGATAAGGGGGTGGTGGGGTTGCCCTGTGGTTAAAGCATGATTCCCCACATGGGTACAATGTGTGAAAAAATTATCCATCAATATCTGGACTCTTTTTGTTTTTCAACGATTTGATTGCTCTAAGGATTTCACTCTAGGGATTTCTAATTCATTTTGCAAAGATTTTGGAAGGGTTGGGGTTTTTAGTTCTGAAACAAGTGAAAGAGACCAAGTAGTTTTTTGGTCATCCATACAGTCCTGCTCAGGGTCTGAATACAGGTTTTGATAAAAAGCCTTTTGTTTGTCTAAAATATATTCACCATCAGTGATAATTTCACCCATGAGACTAGTGATGGATTTACTAACATAGTTTCTGTTTTCAAGATTACAAATATATTTTGATGGCTTTTCTCCCTCTTCATACCACTGAATTCAGTTTCTGATCTGTAATCCTTTAATTTCTTGCCCTTGAATTTTTTCAAACTCCATCTTGTGTTTGGATAGATCAGAGAGAAGGGTTTCATCAATGTTTTGAAGATTGCTACATATCGTATCCTCCAAATCTTTAATTTTATATTCTAATTTCAAAGTTTTTTCATTCCTTTCTTTTTTTCAAAAAAAGAGCTATAGGAGTTAGATTTTCCTCTAATATTCATCAACAAAGTTTCCAGGAATAGACAATCATCTATGCTTAGTTTCAAATCATTATCATCAACATCATTTATGCCATTGGTTTGAGAATTTATTACATGTATATAGTCTCTTAGTTGCCCCGATTTCATTTTTAAGTAGTTTAACATATTCCTTGACTCTCAAGAGCGATGTGTTAAACTTCCAGTAGCCCTTTCCTCTAGACTTGCTGTCTGAAGAGAAGGTTAGAGTAATAGCTGAATGATCTGATTTATATCCTGGTAGAATTGCAGAGTCTACAGTTACATTTGAAATATCTTGAGATCAAAAAGAAATCAAGTCTGGCTTGCTGCCTTGGATTCTTTTTCCACCAGGTATATTTCCTTGTGTCAATATTGAAGATTTAATTCATCTACCTTCTCCATGATTATTTTCCTAGCATTAGGATTATTTGCATGTTTATAGTTCTCTAAATCAATGGTTGAATCCATAACTAAGTTCCACATTACTTTTGGCTTAAATTTGAAGAATTCCTTAATGATAACCTCCAAAACAATCTGACACTATCTAAATTCATCATTATGTTGGGACTGCCCTCAAATAACCAAGTAGTAACTCACATTTTACTACTTGCAAAAAGATTAATCTATACTTCAAGCCTTAAACAGCAAGATATATCCTTTGCAGAATTTCTCAAGCTGCTTAAAGACATATGCTATATCAAAAGGTTTATTGCAATGAAAAATAATAAATTTAGTTGTTTTACTAGGAAATGGCAACACTTAGATACGGTACTCTGACATTTTAATTTAGCACACATGCAGTTTGACCTACTCAAACTATTGTGTACGCTACAGTAATAATATTTTCACACTAACTCCTATTTATCTATATATGTACACCCTCATATGTGTATACAATTTTGTACTAATTTGATGATGTAACTGCCAACACATGTCACTCTTCTGTCTGTACATGCAACTTGAAATGTAATAAAGAAAGATTTAAAAAAAAAAGTTCCACATTATCTAAGTTAGCGTCATCATGTTTTATCAAACAGTTCAGGTCAAAACTATACCTTATTGACAATACATAGAGGAAAGAGACAACTTACTTTATTCAGTAAAGATAAGTTATTTTACTACTTGTAAGAAGCAAGGATCATTAGGAGCCATTGCAACCCAAAGTTTCCCCATAACCAATTGTTGTAACAGTATGTGCAGTGAGTGAGTATAATTTTACACCACTTTCATGATTGTTCCAGCAATATGACGGCGAGGGACACCAGACATGGGCTTCACACATTGTATCCATGTCGGCAATCGAACCCGGGTCTTTAGCATAAGAGGAAACAATTAAACCACTGGGCAACCTCACGGCCATAACCATGTTTGTCTGACTTGTTCACACTTCACAATATTATTTTAGCAACAGCAGTCATCGCCACACAAACCCGTGAGTAGGTCACAACACTCTGTACTTCCGGTGACAAACAACGTTTCATATCTTTTCGAATGGTCTCATGGTTGTCAGTTGACAGTAAGGAACCGAAAATCTTTGCAGGAATAACAAATTTCTGATCTAACCATCCCCAACATTACGACTAACAACAGCTGTGACAGCCAAGCATAGTTGTACACTTGGTCTGGTCATATTTGGCGGTCGCGCAATTTGGAACCAGAACTGGTTCTTGAATATATGCTTGTCACCGGAAATCTGCTACCAGAAGTAAGCTGGGCCCCGTCTCGTGTATCGCAAGTTGGTGCTCGCAAAAGGAGCCGGGAACCAGCTTAGTACCGGAAGTAGCGCTTCGCGAGACTTACAGGCCTACTGACACACAATTAACTAAGTAAGCCTGACCACCTCATCGTAGCCTCTTGTGATCAACACAAGAACATGTTCTAACTTAGAAGATTAGAGTGTATAACATACAATCCCAAACCATCATTTAAAGTAGCCATATTTCTCATAGTCTTTGTACAACTGCTGGTTTTCTCTCACAGTGAAACTCAGCGACTTGTTCTGATAGTAGTCATTGCATGTTTCAATATTATCGATGACGTCCTCCAGCAAATGGGCCCGCAAGGCATCAAATCCTGGAGCTTCGTACGTAGATGGGTGATGTGAAAGTGCAGATGGTAGTATGAGGGCTGGTAGTGGAAGTAGATGCGGAGCTGGGACTTGGGCACGGAATACTTCTCCTGTATAGCACTCTGAATAAAATAAACGTCACAGTATCTCATATCAGACTACCATGATTAAACAAGCGAGTGAGTTTAGTTTTACACTGTATTCAGCAATATTCCAGCTATATGGCCGGAGTCTGTAAATAATTGAGTCTGGACCAGACAATCCAGTGATCAACAACATGAGCATCGAACTATGCAATTGGGATACAATGACATGTTCAACCAAGTCAGCGAGCCTGACCACCCGATCCCATTAGTCACCTCATACGACAAGCATGGGTTGCTGAAGATGAATTCTAACCCGGATCTTCACGGGTCATGATTTAACGATTCATTCATGCATTGTAATCATGGCGATCATAGATGAAGAACTTTCAATATACTGCCACAATGGGCAATATTCCAGCTATATGACAGCAGTCTGTAAATAAAAGGGGTCCAGACCAGCCAATCCAGTGATTGATATTAAAGGCATCAATCTTCACATCTGGGATACAATGATATATATCAACCAAATCAGCAAGCCTGACTGCTCAATCTCAACAGTCGCTTCGTACAACAAGCATGTGGTTTAGAAGATCAGTTCTAACCTGGATCTTCCAAGGAAGACCTTAAACATTAAAGGCAACAAACTCAATGCATGTCTTCCCATCTTTCTTTAATTCATGACGATGTTCATGCTGTTGATCACTGGATTGTCTGGTACAGACTCAAATATTTACAAACAGCCACCATACAGCTGGAATATTGCTGGATGTGGCGCAAAACTAATCTCACTCACTTTACTTCATGAAACAAAATCTACCTGGTCCTATCAATCATTCACATGAATCACAACAGTTGATGTAATGTTTACAACAAAAAACAAAACAACAACAATATTGCCTCCCTTGGACCAAAAGAATTTCAGAAACTGGATGGATTCAGAAATTCCGTGAAAATCTTCAAATTGATTCATATCATGTGTCAGTAAATAGCAAACAATTGACTCACTGTTCCCTTCTCCAGTACATTTTTAAGCAGTGGCAAGTGTTGTTGACCGAGATCTCTCAGCGACTTGATCCCCCGCTTGTGTACTATAGCTACAAGGTAGAGACTGTCTACGTCTTTTCCGTCCCACTTCATATCTGGCAATAGCACAAACCCAGTGTCTGCGTCCGGATCCTCCATCACAATCCGCTCTGCTTCACTCTTCTTGTCCAGGATGTTGTATACCCACTGTAACCATGGAAACAAACAATTTCAACGGATGAAGAAATTAGACAAGGTGTGTCTATTTACTCATGACCATGTGACAAAAGTTGTTTGAAAATCATTTTTAGGACACCACACATTGTTTCTAGTCAACAGAATAGTCATCCAAAAATAGGCAGATTAAATTATCCTTTCAATTGCATGCTGTGTTCGTCTGCTCGTATTGTTGAGTAAAATTTGTTTCGGGCAAGTGAAAAATATATTTTGCTCGTCCTAGAGGACGAGTACATTTTCTGACCCAAAAGAAACATTTTTCTTTTCCCTTGAAGTTCAGCTATCTTATATGGTAAACGAATTCAATTTTGTCAAAGATTTTGTACAGAAGACAAAGTAAGTAATGTTTATTGTAGTTTTATTCCAAGCAAACATTTTTAAATAAAATAATTTAAATTTATATTCATTGCGATGCATGATCTATAGGGAAAGTACAATTTTAGAAGGATGAGTGGATAGTTCATATTACTCGCCCTACAAGGCGAGTGCAGATTTTTTAATTTGTCGAGCCCTGAGAAGAATATTTTACATCAAATGTGGTTGGGGACAGTCATTGCTGTTTGATTAACTTGAGAAAGCAAGCTGTGACAGGAACATGCAAAGATGTTGTGATAAATATTAAGGTAACTGTAGCGCCCATAAATTTTCGGAGTTCTGTGATGGGCTTTGAATCAAGGACCTACCATTCTGACACCTTGGCCATTAACCCCTTTGCATTAAATTGCAAGCTGACAAAGTAAGGATATCATGAATCCATATTCTGCAGCAACAAAATCCTATCCTTGACATTTGCAGTCTACTTTTCTTGTATCAATCTCCCTGCTTGTTCGGGAGAGTTCACTCAAACGCATCTCGTTCAGTTAGTGTTTATGGAATTTAAAAACATTCATGGAAACGCATATACACTGACTGCACGAGATTTGCCTGCTAGTGAACTACACACGCTCCCAAATTTCATATGTTAGAATTTAAATTCAATTCGGTTTTCAACTTTGCTGATACCAGACGTAAATTTAGAGTTAGGTTAGAAAGTCCATCAGTTGTTAGATATTCATAAATTAGCTTAGACAATCGGTGGGGTTTAATTAGTAAAGAACATTAGAGGTTAGATATTCAGGGTTAGACTAGTTTAGTATTAGTGGGGTTTTGAACATTAATAGAGTTAGAATTTAGATATTAGGGGTTACTAAAATTAGTTAAATTCGTAGAAATTCATCATCGCAAAAGTTTATACATTCAGTTAGTTCTTCACACATTCATTTTTCCCATAAGTGTTATCATATTTAGTTCTTCAGTTCCTCATTAGAAATAATTGTAAAATAATCACATTTAGTTCATTACATTAAGTTAGCAAATTTACGTTTCCACAAAAAGCATCAGAACACTGCTACCTTGTTATGAATGAGTTTTATCCCATGTTGTTATTACTACATATTATTAAATATGATCACACATTACATCCAATTTGATCACTGTTCTTATTTCAAGACAATTACCATAAACAAAAATATTTGCCATTTCATCACCAACCATACATTTATTATTTAACATTTTTATCAATAAATAACGAACCTGCATGCTGAAATTACTACTCTCCAGACATGGTAGTGTGATTTTCTCATACAGAGCAGGCGTCTCTCTGATGGTATACTGGTCATGTTCAGAGTATTTGTCTACGTGCTTCTGTGTGGCCGGATATATCACAGTAGTCTTGAAACCTGCATGAGAAGAAATTTTCAAAAGTGAAATTGCAAAATTTATTACATATTCTGTGTTATATATATACAACCAATAAAAAACAAAACAAATCTAATGCCATTAAATTAATGGTTTACCATGGTTACAGGATGCACAATGGCACATATTCTACGCAACAAACAAGGGAGTACTTTCAGGGTCATACAAAAATTGCTTATGCATGTTAGAAAATGACAGCTGCTTTGTCATATTTTGGTACTATTTAATTACTAACTTCTGTAAATAATCATTGCAAAAATAATACACGATGTTGAATCATATTTAAGTGATAACACGTTTAGAATCCTTTCAGATGGTAGCTACATGTGTACTTCTGAATAATTACGCTAAGGTCATGAAAACATGGATTGTGTTCACATATTCAAGGGAGGTAATTCTTACAGTGGTGAGTAATTGTCTCCCATTTCATTTGTAAGACCTGTAGTTTGAAGAAAGAACTGAATTACCATTAATTAAAATAGCGTATATTTACCTGATAAGTCTGTTGGTGGTGTTGCTTCATAGGTACTGTAAATATCATTCTTAAGCGTCTCTCTTAAAGTCGTTTCATATGACAGAAGCCTTGGAAAGCTTTGTTTAGGAAAAGGCTCTTTCTCCAAAAGGACTACTGCAAGATCTTCGCTCCCGTTAAATCTACCCTCCAAACATACAAATTTAGTGCGCTGGTCTTCCCTTAAAACCCTTTGAATAGAAAACCCCTTGAGTGACTTTGAATCTGAAGCAGGTTCCTCAATTTTGCGTTTCTTCGAATCTGAGCTATCACACAATTCTTTCACGGGAGATGCCATTTTGGATTATGTAAAACCTGAAATAGGTGTTTCATCTTGAAAGCGGATCTTACACATCTATATATTTGTTCTTAGAAAAAAATTACTTCGAAATCGTTTGATAATCAGTCTGCAATATTCATAATGTGGAGTATAGACTACTTTATTATGACACATTCAAAAACTAAATATTCATACAAAATGTAGATTGAATAGAAATCTGCATTCGCAAAATATTTCTTTGAAGTAATTTTGTCAAAAGTAGACTTATCAGGGTAGGTAACTCTCTTTTGGTTTGGAAGGGTGTCAAGGACTTTTGTCTTGAGGCTGCATGATAAGATGATTTAGGTGTCAGAGACGTTTTGTCAAGATATAAATCATGCATGCTTGTCTAGCGAGACGAGTGATACAGAGGACATACTGCCAAGGACTGTCAGTTGCCAGTTTTAGTTTACCTGGCAGAAATGACCACGCACGTGATATGGGGCAAGGAGGTCAGTCTAGGCCACATGGATTTGTTCAAGGGATTAGTAAATATCACATGTCATGCATCAACAACAGCGTGAACACTGACAGAAAACCGAAGATAGCTCGTGGTCCGTACAGCGATGTCACAGACGCAGATATTAATTTCTTTGAGAGTCTGATTCCAGGACGAGTATTGACAAACCCAAGTGATGTTGAGCCTTATAATGAAGACTGGCTAAAAACTTGCAAAGGTGAGAATTTAGCTGACCTGAAAAAAAACCAAAAGGAATGTTTATGTTTCAGTTGATCAACAAACATAACCCCATCTTTATGCAAATCTTCGTAGCTGATACGAGTACCCCATGGTAGCCTGCAATTTGTAGAAGGGATGGATTCAGCCTAAAATATCTCCAACATCATCTACAAAAGTGGCTACAGCACTTAGGGATCGTTCTTAATTTATGGCTAGGGGGATGATGATTGTTATGAAGAGGCATTTACAATATGTGAATAACCCCACCCCTAAATTTTATGTACAAAGTAAGTTAATGAGAATTGAGTTAAGATAGACATAATGTGTAGGTATTTATATATGCGTTATCCATTTGTGGCATTGATTCTGCATTTGTCATCATATTTATTTAGCAGGGTGTGGTGGGCAAGCTGGCTAAGGCACCAGGCTAGTGATCTAGTGAGGTTGAGGTGCCGGGATCAAGCCCACCTGTGACCAGGTGTAAAAACCCTGGAGTCAACTTTGTGTGCAGACTCTTTCAGTGTTGTCACAACCCCTAGTGTACAGTACACAACCCTGTGCACTTAAAAGATCGAGGGGAAAATACCAGCGCCTTGAGCATGCACCAGTTGCGTGGATATGTGCACTATATAAATATACTATAATTTCCTTGTCAGCTTGCAGACAAGGTGTCTAACTTTGAATGAGAACGTCCTTGGTTAGAATCCCAGCACAAGACTCTGACTATCTATTAATAATGGCTACCTATACATGCTATGGTCCATTGTATCACACTTGTTCCAAACAGTAACTTCTTTATTGAATCCACTGCGATATTTCACTCATCAAAGTTTGATGTTAAGTTGTAATTGCAATGCCAAATGAAATCATTAATAAATGATTCAAAAAAGTGTACTTATCAATCATCAGTTACCATGGTTACACTAACTTACAGGTTCAAGCAAGGTTGTACTGAGGCCAAAGTCAACAGAAGAAGTGTCAGCCATCTTGTCCCATTGTAATGAGAGAAAGTTGGCTGTGCAACCCCAGGGAGGAAACACTGGACTTGTTGGAGGGGGTGTCCCAGTGTTTGATGAGGTCATAATTTCCACACAACTAATGAACAAGATTATATCTGTGGATGATGTGTCAGGCAAGTATGAACATTGTTAGCTGGACACAGTCTGCAGTCAAACCAGGTTTCTCTTAATTCAAACAAATAACAGGTGTCAATCAAGGAACAGATTGGTTTAAAACTTTTGGTAAAACGATATAGAACGGTAGGAATTAAACAACAACATTTAAAAGTAACTATTATGAATAATATATTTTGATTTTCTGAAATCATTTTAAAATGTTTTGTTCGTTGTTTAGGCCACAATAAGACCAGTTCCATTTGTATGGCAGTTGTCTGTAAATAGAGACTGGACCGGCTTGAGTATCGATCTACATCACTGACATATGCTGACTTGCATCAACCAAGTCATCAAGTACCCCCAATCCTGTAACAAGCATGGGTTACTGCAGATAAGTCCTCAAAGTGGTAATAGAATAGAATAATACTTTAATGCCTTTTCAGGAATTTGTGTTACATCAGCAGAGCTACTGACACATCAGAGAGATACAATTTACACATAACATATTTACATAAATGCATTGATTTAAATATCTTCACATTCGTTTAAGAGATATATGGTACTTGGAATAAAGGATGTACGGGCTCTCTTAGTTTTCACAATTGGAACTTTGTAGTGGCGGCCTGAAGGGAGGAGGTTGTATTCCAGATTTAAGTAGTGAGTTGGGTCAGATATAATTTTGACAGCTTGATTCACGATTTGCCGCTCATATATTGATGATAAACATTCAAAAACATAAACATAAACATTCAATTTGACTCCAGCGATTTTACTTGCAGTGATAACAATTTTGTCTATTTGAGATGAACTGAAAGAGACCCGTACCAACAATGGAAAGAAAATGTTAAAATACTCTGAATAAATGCTGGTTATAGTGATATTTTTGGTTACTTAGTTATGTATATTGGTTGTAATGTCCAGAAAATGTTCAAAAATGTGTGACTGAAGGATAACAAGAAATACTGAAAAGCCAAGAACTTGTATAGCTTCAAAATTTCCAATTTTCACATTGAGTTGGAAAATAAGACTGCATTCCAACGTAATCTAGCTTTTCTGGAAGAGTTCATGTATTTCAGTTATTCCAAAACCAATAAAGGCAAACTCTTTTATGGTTTGTTTTTCATTACTGCCATAAAAGTCACATCAGATCAATGGTTTCATTCCTTCCATCTCATGGAGTTTCCAGGTTCGAAACAAGCAACTGTTGCTAGTTGTAAGAGGCGACTTGTGGATCTTGTAGTCATGCTTGGTGACTTGGTTCCTGATATCATAATACCGAATACAGTATTACACAACAAGCACACTCCACTACCTTCAAATATTTGCAAAGTGACCTAAACTGACGTGATGCCAAGGCTTTGAGACTTGTACCTGGAGTGAGTGAGTTAAGTTTTAGGCCACACTCACCAATATTCCAGCTATATGGTGGCAGTCTGTAAATAATCGGGTCTGGACCAGACAATCCAGTGATCAACAGCATGAGCATCGATCTGCGCAGCCGTGAACCGATGACATGTGTCAACCAAGCCAGCAAGCCTGACCACCTGATCCCGTTTGTCGCCTCTTATGACAAGCATGGGTTACTGAAGATCAATTCTAACCCGTACCTTCATGGGTTACTTGTATCTGGAAACATTGTTTGTGATGTCACACTCGGTTTTTATGACTCAGTTAAAGAATTGATGGAATAATTGAGGGAAACTTTCCCCCCTGTTTCAGGTGCTGTAGTGTGCCAGTCTGGTTGTGTGCTGGAGACCCTTGACAACCATGTCGCAGAATATGACCTTGTTGTGCCCCTTGACCTTGGAGCTAAGGGAAGCTGCCAAATTGGCGGCAACATCTCAACCAACGCAGGAGGCATCCGACTTCTCCGTTATGGATCTTTACATGGGAGTGTGCTGGGTTTAGAAGCTGTAAGTAGAGGATGTATATTCTGTGCATGAATACAGGGATTTAATTTCTACATATTTCAAAATTATGGGTTGCCATAATTATTGTGGTAACAGGTGAAAAATACATGCAGGAGTTCATGTGCATTTTGAGGGACGGTGAGTCTAGTGGTTAAAGCGTTGGCTTGTCACGCCGAAGACCCGGGTTCGAATCCCCACATGGGTACAATGAGTGAAGCCCATTTCTGGTGTCCCCCGTGATATTGCTGGAATATTGCTAAAAGCGGCGTAAAACCAAACTCAGTCAGTCAGTCATGTGCATTTTTGAAACTAAATGGCCTTGGGAAGAAACATTAATTTATTATACTCTGAAGTTTTGGTTTTTCAGAAATGTTATTGGTTGCAGGAGCAAACGAGATTGACTGAGATGTTTGATGGCTTGCAAATATTAACCTCTGGATATTTTGATAACCAACATAGAGCGCACTTGTAGGTATAAATATAAAGAAGTATTTCATATAAGTTTTTCGTGTGCAATACTCGTAACTGGGTCGAAAGTGCAACAAAGGATTTCCTCCATTGCGGCCTGTAGAGGTGCCTCAGAGCTTTCATGTATGTGAGCGCTCTCTGTCCGTCTCACTAGATTTCTAAATTTACTCAGGTGCCTCCAAAGTTGTCTTTTTTAAAGGCTTTTCTTGTTTTTTGATTGATGTATATTTCATTTTCATTCAGTGCAATAATGTAAAACTATTATTGTTAAACCTGTTTTCCCTTTATTGCTCCTGTTGCCACCATATCCACAAAGCTATTTTGTAAACTGTGGTACAAATATATTAGCATAAACTGTAGGGGTGACTATTGAGGGGGAAACAACTATTGAGATAGCGATCATCTATTGCAACATACTATTGCAACCAACTATTGCAATACTATTGGAATAGGTTTTTCTCCTTGAATTGTCTCATTTGGAGTCTTTTTCATAATGAATGTATATGCACAGTTTATATGAAATAAAAACAAGCTGAATTAGTTTCAGTCTCTTTTAATAACTGACAAGAAACTTGAAACCCAGATCAAGTAAACAGTTAAAACATGAACTTATTGTTATTTACAATTTCAACTCTGAGTTGCATGCCGTGTTTGCTGCCATGTTTGTTTATTGATAGTCACACATACTATCGATGCATCAATAGTTTTTCTTTTCTACCATCGATTAATTGCTATCGGAGACTCAACAATTGCAGTCCATCGATAGTTCAATGGGCTTTGAGGCAAGTTTTGGTGAATTATTGGTATTTGTGATATCAAGATGGACTTGGATGCTCATAATCATTTTCAGTTTCCATGCAGGCTAGTCTACAGGACAGATGTAGCAGTTTTGTATGTACATCATTTGCTGCTCTCACAAAATCAATGGTATTCCAGGTTTTGGCAAATGGCAAAGTGGTAGACTGTCTATCATCACTACGCAAGGATAACACGGGTTACGACATCAAGCAGCTGTTCATCGGCTCAGAGGGAACCCTCGGCTTCATCACTGCTGCATCTATCCTGTGCCCGCAGAGACCTAAAGCTGTCAATGTGGCGCTGCTGGGTAGGCACATTTGACTTGTTGCTTTTCATTAATTTCAAACTACCAGTCCCAGAGACTAGCCACAATAAAAATTACCAGTCCTGCAAAAGTTCTGCTAGTCCTATGTTCATTGCTTCAGGTTTACATACAAAATTTTCTTTTTGTCATCCATTGAAATCCACTTGACTAAATATCATTAAAGTTTCTTATGGTTTTTTTCTTAACAGTCTTAGACATTTTGATGCATTTCGTTTCCATGTTGCTAGGTTAGCTTGGTTTGCACCGAAAAAAATTAAAGATTCATCTGCTTCCCCGCCATTGCTCACAACCATGAAGCAAAAGTGAAACGTAATGTACACTTTTGTTTAAGGGCAACATGGCTAAAATGTGAAGGATCAACAAATGTATTTTAAGCATATTTTGCAGACTCAAATTTCAGATTTGGTAGAGGGTTGTTATACTGAATAGAAAGACAAAATCAATACATATTCTAGCACGACATTGTGTGATACTCGATTCTGATTGGCTGAGAGCTCATCAAACCGTACTTAAATGGCAGTTTAAGACTGCTAATTAAAGTGACCGATTCACCGCATATGAATACAACAAACTTGTTGACCCTATTGTTTGTAAACAAACATGTCGAACATCTGCAATTTCTACCTCGGCAGCATCTTTGGTGTTTTTGAAGTCAAAAGCGAATGGTTTGAAGAAGAATTTCTTGACCCTAATCCCAGTGAAGAAACTATGAAGCTGGAAAATCCGTCAGCAGCGCAAAAGCGTCAGTATATTCAAACCAGGTCCAGATCTAGCGGGCATGACGTCGACGTAGGCAGCATCTCCACTAAGTCAGAGTTGTATATTCTCTGGCTTAATGTTGTAGGCTGCGAATCCTTCAACTCACTGGTGTCAGTGTTGAAAATGGTGAAGACCGAAGTCGGCGAGATTCTGTCGGCCTTTGAGATGATGGACCACGCCACGATGGAGGTTGTGACAGGCAACCTGAACCTGACCTGTCCCATCAGTAACAACGCCTTCTACGCCCTCATCGAGACGAGCGGCTCCAACGGCAGCCATGACCAGGAGAAGCTCAATGCTGTGCTTGAGAAACTGATGGACAAAGGACTGACAACTGATGGGACACTTGCCACAGACATGACCAAGATTAGGGTCAGTAGGCTGAGTTTTTCTATTCTGTTAGCTTTGCAGTCTAGATCAAAGCGATCTTCATTTAATTTGCTGAACATTATATAATGAAATATAGCAAATCATATAATTGGTGCTTTTTTTCCAACCAAAAATGTTCAACAAAAGTTCTGACAAAATGAAGAGTTTAACTGTCCAGCTTGTGTGCTAAAATGCTTGACATTGCTGGGGCCTACTCCATGCATAGTTTTACTCCATGGCGCCCAAAACTTGTATATTTTATTATAGATAGGCAGTAACTTAAAAGGATTTCAAACTATCAGATATGAATCCAAGGGTTGTGTCGGTGTAGCGAAATGACAGCCTTGGATATATTGAATACTTTGGGCTCAATTTTATGAAATTGTCTCAGTCTTCACTACAAACAAATATTCCCAAAATATTCATGATCTCTAATAAATTCATATGTTGATGTTGTGTTGTTATACCAAGGCGATCTGGCAGCTCCGGGAACGTGGTGCCGAGGCCTTGATGGTGGATGGATATACGTACAAGTATGACTTCAGTCTGAAACTGTCTGACTTCTACACACTGGTGGAGGACGTCAGAGCGAGGATTGGAACGAAGGCGACAAGAGTGGTTGGCTATGGCCACCTTGGTGATGGTATGTCATTGGTTTGGATGGGATGTTGTTAGTTTGAATACAGAACATCAAGCTTACGAAATGTACACCAATATTTCAGGACGTAACATTACAGGTCACATCAGAATATCATGAAAATGTTACTTGTTTTCTACGAATTGTAAGGGGATAAACAATTCAAACAGAAGACTCTCTATAGCCTCAGCAAGTACTCCCATACATCTTAGCCTTTCAGTAGACATTCACAGATTATCTTTTGTTCAATTTACAAATATTTAGTACAGAGCCTTCTAATATCTTTCAAAAAGTAATTTGAAAGGCAATTACCACTTTGAATCTAGTGACATTAAACTTGAGAGCTATTTTCTGATTGTCTGATGCTGCCTTCCGGTTGTCATTTTATTGGTCAGTCCAAGTCCATGAGAGGTTGTTGTTATCTCAACTGTAATGGGATGTCCTTAAATGTTTGTGTAGAGATAGCGAGCAATAAGATCTGATTTTAATGAAATTAGTTAAAGAATGAGATTTGATCATGTTCACTATAGCCTGTTCCAGTCTTATCTTAAACACTGGAAAGGTCATTTTCACCCCCTCATGTTTTATTATATTTATTTTTAAATGAAATTTATTATGTAGCAAGAATGTGAACATGGAAACTCTGATAAATCATTCCTGAACCAATTGTTCCAGGAAACCTTCATCTGAACATCACATCTTCAGAATTCAAAAGAGAAATTCTGGATTTGATAGAGCCATTTGTGTATGACTGGGTATCACAGCATGGCGGCAGTGTCAGCGCAGAACATGGCCTCGGCTTGTGGAAACGCAACTACATCTACCATACAAAATCTAGGGCAGCTGTGGACATCATGAGGTTGATGAAGCAGGTGCTTGATCCAAATGGTATCCTCAATCCTTATAAAGTTATCCCAGCAGAATAACATCTGACTGTGTACAAGGCACACTGGGCACACTGATGGGCTTCCGCTGAACAGCTTGGGTCATGAGGTTCATGATTTAGATGCTTCTCAGAAATGACCAGTACCAATTAATGTTTGTGTGTCCCACGACAAGTCTAATGCTGAGCCATAACCATGAAACACTGCAACGGGGTACCACGTTGCCCAGACACACAAACTGACAGTCAAAATTTGAAGACTTCTAGGGATCTATTAAACTGTTTTTTGTAAACATCTATTTACAATCTTATAAACTAACAGGCAAAAGAAACAATACCAAGTCGAAATCACTGATATTACAAAACGACAAACCACCATTGTGACAAAGGAAAGTGAATTTTATAACCGGGTGTATGGGCAACCTGCATGCATCGTTTCTTTGGCCGGTTAGTTTATTAAAATGTTATGGCTGTTATGATGCATTTCAAGTATTTGTATTGATGAATCGAGCCGTATGAATCCAATCGACTTCAATTCTTTATTCATCATCACTTAAATCAAATATTCATTAATTTTAAACATTTTCAGGGATTGGGAAAGGCAGAGGCCATGGGCCATTTGCACATTAGAATTAAAACATGGCCCATTAAAACTTTGAAGTTTACGATTGATACAGGGCCATTGGCCCATTCTACATTCAGAAAATGGCTAATAATCCTGAAAATGGCCCATTGCCAAAGTTCTCTATCCCAATCCCTGAATGTGAGAGGTTTTATTTGAATTTGGGTGTTGTTTATCAAAGCGAGATTTGCAAGAATATTAATCTAAGACAGGCAGGAAAATAGTCAACAACTCTTGTATATCTACTTTGACTTTATGTGATAACTGGACATTGATATTGTCGATATGGTTACAACATGTCAAACAAATTATTTTGACACTATTTCAATATATATACTATAGGGACAAGTAAATCTACTGCTGTCTTGCTATGGTAACTGTTACCCAATATTTGTGATATTATCATATTCCTTCTTACTGGATTTCTTGCAGTCCTGCAAAATATATTTATCAAGATTCAAGGAAATAGTGTATCAACTGAATTGTTCACATTAGAACTTTTTTCAAGAAACAAAAATCAATAACAGCAGATCATTAATACACAAAGTGGATTGTTAAGAACTCCACTGGGACGTTTAGAAAGATTTCTGTATTTTCATTCACAAAGTTAAAATGTTTAGCAATCATGCCTGATATTACTCTGAATCACATGGAACCTGTCCCTCATAGCCAATGTTTTAAAGAGGAAGGATCTGTAGTTATTGCCAATCATACCATTACTACCAGCATTAGAGTTGCTGTACAGAATTTACTGTCTAAGTCATGCACAATTATTTGGCGGTGAAGTTAACGTTGAAGGATGAATGGTTGTATCTTCCGATGTAGTGTTGGGAATTGGTTGAAATCTCATAATTGATGATTTCTTCATTACCAACGAACAATCATCGATAAAAATTAGTTAGCGTCAAATTTCAGATTTTCCTATTCAGGTTGTTATTGCAGATATGTATAACATGATGCACCTTGCTTCTTTAAAGTGATGTTGATATATCATGAACATAAACCTTCTGGGGTCTTCAAGAAATATTCAGTCATGACTTTTCAGTTAGTGAATTGAGTTTTCTAAGAATTAAACAAGTTTTCAGGCCCTGACAACTTCGAAGATATGTTCCATCGTCAAGTGTTTCAAAGACTAAAACAGCAGTTCCAAAATCGTTTGTGTTCGATTATGAGAAAATGTGATCGATTGCTTGGTCGTTTGGTCACTTCGACCAATCTTCGATTATTTCAGTTAATCGGAACACCACTATTCCGATGTACTACGAAAGCCATGGGGTCCCAGAGTTTACTGAATGTTGGCGTCCCCAGAATATTCAATATAGGTGTCATGTCATTGCAGCTAGTTTTCCAAAGAGGTCATCCTGTCCATCAAGTTCTTACAATTATATATAGTCATAAGTTAATGTTCCAGAATTTGAAGACCATTTCTGGTGTCTTCCCCCCCACCCCACCCCCACCCCTGTGATATTGCTGAAATATTGCTAAAAGTGGCGTAAAACCAAACTCACTCACTCCAGAATTTGAATGGCAGTGTGAGACTGTGTCATGGAATGTTCATAAGACAGACCGGTATTCTCTACTTATAGGGCCAAATGAAAAAAATGCTGTGGTTCCGATTACAGCTCTTTAAAATTTAGGGTAGGTAGGTAGGCAGGAATATGGGGTTTTTTTACATTTTATTTTAGAAGTAAAGTACAAACTAATAACACATTTATCAATGTGTAATTGTTTATTTAATCAAGATTGCTGCCATCAAGTCGACATTCTCTATCAGAATGACAGATGTTTGTAGGTGCTATGAAAAATTATGGTATCTGAACGCTTATTTTATTTACACCGCTTAAAAGAATAGGGTCGGCACCAGAATTCAAGGGTCGGTTGGGTAATCGGAACCATAACATTTTCTTTTTAGGTCTAATTTATATTTGGTGCTTTTGTGACACTTCCTAAATGTGATGTAGTTTCAAATGTTGGCACAACTAATTCATTCTCAGTTAAGTAAAGTCATTTCCTTTCTCAAAGCCACCAGTTATGTTTGACCCTTAGAGCCCAAGCCAGCCATGAAAGGCTCCATACAGTCAGCATTGACTGTACGAGAAAACTTGCATCTGAAATATTACTGGATATCATTTCAGCACCACACGGAAACATGGCAGATGAGGAAAGTCTTAGTCTTTGAGGTTTCCCTGCACACTCTCTTATCTTTTGTTTTCAAAATCAAAGTTAACTTTTGTTATTTTGACATTTGTAACATATGTTATACTTGGGATACGCTTTCTTTGTAAAATTCAAATTCTAGTACTTTTGGGGGTTGAACATGATTCATTCTAAACGAATACTGGAACTTTTACTTTACGAAGAAAGTGTTATCTCAAATACTCAATCTCAATACAACATATGTTACACCTGACCACTTTCTAAAAGGCACCTTGTATTTATTATCGGAATTGTACCTTTTTCTCATTTTGATTTCTTTGAGAACTATTTACAATAATAAATATAACAGATGAACTAGAATGAGTATATACCCAAATCGTTTTACATTGTTGATTTTTCGATAAAAAATGAATAAACTTATATATATTGTTAATGTGATGGTTGTTTTTTGTCTTTGAACAAGGATATTTATTGTTTATGTAATGAAGACAACTCAATAAAGTCGCTATGCGCTGCGATGTACAGTGTCAGCTATAACAGAGACTAGGTGTACACAATGTGTGACATTTGTTAACAATTATGAATATGTTTATATCAGAATGTGGGTCATTCTATGATAACATATACACCTATTTGGTAACAAAAACTAATGTTTAAGATTTGTGCTTGTCTGTCAGTCTAATTTGCTGACAGATTGTCAGTTTTGAAAAGTTGCTTGCCAGATGGTCAAGCCATTGTTGCATCCCTTTATTACCTAAAGATTCTTGTGTTAGTACAGAGTAAGTGTTAAATTAAGTGTAATGTAAAAAATAGTACTAGACACGGGCTTCAGGCTTGTGGCTGAAGTCACAAAAGCTGTAAACCTTCCTCTTCCACCTTGAAAGAAAATATTTTCCTGACAAATGAGACCAATTTCTTTAAACAATTATCAATTGCTATTTAGCTCTTTCAAGGGTAACCTCCCAAAACTTAGACAGCCATCTCTTAGACAGCTTAAAACAACATTTCTGGTTCAGTGCACAACTAATCCTCAAGCTGATACCTATTTCTTATAATGGCTCAGTCCGGTAGAATCAATTAGACAAGACGTTATGTTCATTCAGTATATTTATTATAAGTTCAACAGAGATAAAAAATAAATAGTACATAATAAATATGGTCTGTTGATCATGTCCATTCTTGGCATATTAAGTAGCATTCCACCTAAGAATCATGCAGAAGTGGATAAGTCCAAAATTTCATATTCACTTGAAATTTTGTCATTCCCTTTATTTGGCCTTGTAAAATTTCAAGTCACTCAGAAATGTTTCTGTTCTTAATATTTTTCATTAATTAGCCGTTAATTATAGTTCTACGAAATTGACCCAGAATCACATGTGAAAATGTACGAAAATAGTATTTTTCAGTTGACAATATTGTTTAAACCATTAATGCTGTCAGAATTCTTTTACTTTGTATTAAAAGAATACATGCAACTTTCACTTCAGTTATATTTTTGAAAAGTTGATGAGTACAGCTCCATAGCAGCGGTTGTCAAGGTAACGGGTATTCGAACCCATTGGTTGGTTGGTTGTTTGGTAAGTTGCTTAGTAAGTTTAGTTACTAAATTAAATAAATAATTAAACAAACGAATAGATATATAAATCTAAAAATATTATATACACTAACCCTACTCAGACAAACAACATTCGGCCATATATTGACTATAAAATATTCTCACTACTTATTTCAATCCGAAGATCACATACATGCATACATCATATATTCACAACAACATATTCACAAGGTGGGTACACACATGTACAGAGCAAAGGCAAGGAAGGATCTAAAATACAGACTAGAGTGAGGATACCATGGAATACAGATATTTACAAAATAGGACAATCATACATCTCCATGACATTTCATCTATGTCTTCAGTAACCGGTATTTCACCTCCAGAAAAGAGAGACAGCATTTCATCTTCTGGCAGTAATTCTATTTTTACAGATACATTGACATGAAAAAGATCTAAAAGTTTGGAAAAGAACTGATTCCTGTTGTACATATAATGTTCACAATGTAGAATTATTTAGCAGTCATAGTCATTACATTTTGAAAATTTTGCGGTTAATGAAAGTGCATTATAAATATGTGCAAATAAAGGGGTTGATTTTATTTTATTTTAAGGGTGTTGGGGAGGGGTGTAGGTTAGCTAAAATGCATAGCGTTCACTAACATGAAGGCTATGTATCTTCAATCTTAGATTGGTGACCGCCTCCGTGGTGTAGTGGTTAGAGCGTCCGCCCAGAGAGCGGAAGGTCACGGGTTCGATCCCCGACCGCGTCATACCAAAATACGTTAAAAATATGGTTCTTGTTCGTCCCTGCCTGGCGCACGGCATTAATGGGTACAACAAGGACTGGTCGGCTCGGACTGAGAGGGGTATTCATGCTTCACTTCGGCATGGTATCTCAGTGGGCTAGCACTATAAAACCAGCTTAAGTCTGGGCTAGTACAAGCAGCCGCACATGCACATACACACGCATGCACGTCGTCAAATGACGTGCATAAATAGCGAAATATTCTCAAGCACGACGTAAAACCCAATTTCACCTCACCTCACCTCTTAGTCTTAGCTTGGTGTGGGTGGGTGGGTGAAAACTGACATATCTGATTTTGTACACTAGCATTACACTGTTTCGTATATCCCTTTCCACAGATAGTTTAAGTCCGTCTGCAAAGACTACAGGGTATAGACGAATTGTACTACTAAACATTTACTTGGGCCCCAAATATGTATCTTTAGAAAGGGTTGCTGGTAACATCATCACCTGATATATTAATGAGACGAAACAAGTGCCCACCTTCTAGAACCGATGCATAATACTTTCATATTTGGTTTCATCTGCTGGCGTACTGTACATCTGGTAAGCAGACAGACACTGACATTCATTGTACAGCACGCTGCTCGCCCCTGTCGTTTGCTCATATTTGGCATGTCATAACCTCTGAACTCCATCAAAGAGACGAGCAGACGACAGGTGCGTGCGCATACGCAAGGTCATACAAATATTGCTTCCGGACTTGCGCATTTATTCCGGCCTTCTTCACCGACACCAAAACCAGACAGGTAGCGTGCTCATTTCTTTCTACATAATAACTTGTTAATTTCAGTAATCTAGTTCATATCTTAACCTTCGCCTTATGCCCTTTTTTCATTCTATTTCACAATGCATAAACTAACATCTCTTGGAAACTTCACGGAACAATGGCAAGCATCGATGACACCAGACAACAATCCGTCGATATTTTTTGCATTACGTATGGTCATTGCTGAAAAGCATTGTGGCAGAACCGGTCTTTGTGTATTATATGTTGTTAAGGTGTATGGCACTGCCTACCCTGCGGTCGTTTGGTGTAAGTGTCCTTGAAGGCAGACCGGCTTGTCAAGGACGAATGTAAAATGACATTGACCTTGGGGAAGTTCATCATTTGTGCAGACGGTAGAGCACCCGTCCTCTCACTCATGGTTAATAATGACGTGTATACTCGCACGTTCACAATTAGTCGGTCTCAGTCCCAGAACCATATTCTTTCCCTTTCTTTCAGTCAGTAATATTAAACGAAGGCAGTATTGCCCACCACACTGGAGCTCCATCTCAATTTCAATGTAGCTGCTTCTGTCAAAAATGTGTATTTTCATTGAGCTGGCGCTCGTCCAGTTCACTATTTGACAGTAACCTGTTTGATTTCGCTTCACCCATGTTATTTGCGTGTCAGGTGCATTCCATGAAGGTTTCCTGTCATCCTGGTGATGTTATTTTGGGGGATTGATTACCCATTTTATCTGGTCATTCTGAAAAAGTAATTCCTAACATGAGACAGGATGTAGACATTCATTAAATATCCGTTTATCAGTGGTTATGTTTGATTTCCGTTTTTGCCTGTTTGCGATAGAATTTTGATGTACGCATAAGTTTCCATTTCTTTGTAAAGGGCGCCGAATGTTACATTTTTCATCTCATAGCCACCCAGTAACTCATTTTACTAGTTTAGTTATCTAAGTTGCCTTCACTGTCGTCCCAGTGAAAAAATATATAAATCCAGTGTGGCAATGCAAGATAAGATTAGCATAGTGTTGTGTTACTGTTAGGATCATTCAGTGTGAAACGGTATTAACAGAAGTGTTCCTAGTAAATGCAACTACCCTCAAAATTTGTGTGTTGTTAAGTTTTGTATATGATGAAGACAGGCTAAGAATGGACAACAATATACAATTTCTTGAATAATAACATGCCCATGTAAACATGACCTTGATATGTTGATGGGTCAACCTTCAGGTCACCTTTATCATGTTTATACACTTGTCAACAAGGTCAGGTCATGGGAATAGTTGTAAATCAAAGATCTAACTCAGATTCTTGTACGTAACCTCGACAACAGCCTTTTCACTTCCTTGTGAGGGTTGTTTGCCATAATATCAACACCTGGCTGTCATTGTGATCCCAGTCCAGATTTGCTGGTATGTAATGTTTTCATTTCAGAATGGTTGATTAATGGTTTGATTTTTAACACTGGTCCGTAGCAGTGATAAGCACATGGTGGACATGCTGAATACACACGAGCATGTATCTCTAATTTCAGATCGGTAGACTTTATGGCCCTCATATAATATTCCTTTTTTAAAAATTCATGAAATATCAGTTCTAGTTATCATGGGTAATAAATTGTATTCATGAAAGTTTATCTTCAATTCACTGAATCACAAAAGCCCAAGTAATCATAATGGACAAGATGTTGCAGTTCAAATATTTATCAAGTACTTGCATGATCAGTGGTTTTGGTGTAGTGTCTCCATGTTCAGTTTTCCTTGGGTTAATTGTCATTGAAAGTAACATGGAAGGTTCATTAGTCACCATGGTTACGGATTCTGGTAATGTGATATACATGAAATTACTTTTACAATTATGTTGAACTTGGTGATATCAAGTAAATTGGGTTTTCTGTTGGTGCCTGTTGATTTTGAGTGTTGTGTTAAATCATAAAGAGTTTTCAAAGGTAAGCTTAAAAGTTGGAACAGTCCTTGTCAGATAATTTCCATATCAAGTTATTTGACAAACTAGAGCCTTTTCAAATTTTTATCTAGGAATACTTCACAGGGTTCGCACACGTTCAATGAAAAGTACTTGAATTTGACTATGTTCGATGAAAACAGAAAGTACTTGAATTTGACTACGTTCGATGAAAAGTAATTGAATTTAACTACGTTCGATGAAAAGTACTTGAATTTGACTACGTTCAATGAAAAGTACTTGAATTTTACTACTTTCGATTCAAAGTACTTGAATTTAACTACTTTCGATGATAAGTACTTGAATTTGAAAATTTACCACAAAGTACTTGAAAAGTACTGGATTTGTTAATGTGTCCTTGAAAAGTGCTTGAAATTTCATTAAAATATTTGTTGTGGTTCCACTGACAATCAATCGATCGTTTTGATTAAATTGCGTCTATTTCCTGGTTCCTTACATATGTTTCTTTAAATTTAGAGATATTTTTAATTTTAACTTTGCCATCAATGCAATCATGTTAAACTATACACTGAATCATATTTTTCCATGTTGGGTTTGTTGTTGGTTAAGTACAAGTCTATCTACAGAGTTGTAACATCAGTTGTAATTATGACACCAGAAATTAAGAATTTTTTCATCCCAGTTTGAAGGTGGTACTGGCACATTAGGGAGTGAATATCTGCCTCCAACAGAGCTACAGATAATTTTTGGGGTCATTGAGTTATGTACTCGCTTGTGTTCATCTCAATTGAATATCCTAATGTTCCTTTGAGTAACCAAATAAATTGTGTCCACCTCACACAAGTAATATAAAGTTTAAATGTTGGTTTACTGGTTTGTTGTTTATTTAAAACCATAAGAAAGACTGCAAGTTGCCAAGTTCATGTGCTGAAATAGAACCTCTCAATCTACCTCAGTGATTATATAGATCCACAAGTTAAGATTTGTCGTTTTAGTGTGTACGCATGCAAGATCAAATTTATTGAGTATTTACAAAAATTTATGCGTATGCAACAGACTTAATAGGAATTGAGTTTTCACATAAATATTTGCATAATTTACGCAGATACGCAGTTTATCTGTACCTCTGCTCCAAGCTTGACTTGATAAGATGACTGCTCTTTTGATCATGTGGATCTCTAAATGCATTGCCTTGATATTTCAGAGTGTCTGTTATTAAATTAACACTGAAATAAGATTGTATAAATATTGCTACAGCCTCTGTGCTTGAGCAGTTATGATGTAAAAAATATGGTTGGAAATCAATTGAAGCATGCCACATGTTGCCACCTGGCTTCGTTCCTAAGACCCCAAAGTGTGCTACTGCATGTTGCGGGAATAAAAATGGGAGCTGTTGTGTCTGCAGGTTGACAAAGTCCTGTGACCTACTTGACTGTTATAGGTTTGCAGCATGCTTCCTGAAGATCAGCTTTCACAGATTTTGTTGCATTTCATTAGTTCCGATAATGATATTGCCTCATAACATTGCTCTAATGCCCTGTACAGATTATATAATACTCCTTGCAAAATTAGCTCATCGGAAGCAAATGTATTAGTCATGTATTACTGTAACATATGGTAAATTCCTTAAAAGTAATAAAACATAGCTTTGTGAATCAGTAGAATGTCAGAGAATATCTGATGCATGTTATGTGTGGAAACTGTATAGTTATGCTATTTATCATGTTTATGGTAATTCAAACAGGAACATGCATTATTGATTGTTTGACATGTTTGACTGAAATACTTCCAGTAAACCATGCTGGTAATGTATGATTGTTTTATACTTTTAAAACTTTATTGTGTTTGGTAGGTTTGTCAAACCAGTAGGGCTGCAACGAATACACATGTGGCGAATATGATGCGTATCATGAATTTTGGGTAACGAATACGAATGATTATTCACGAATATAATATTGTAGTTGATTGATGCACTTTATGGAACGTCCATGTTGACAGTTTTGATTTGTCATAGCAATAACCAGTGATCTCATGACACTCAAATTTGGTATGTAATAGTTATAGTCGACAGTACCATGTGCAGTCTTGGCCAACTAACATGACTTGCACTACTGCAATGCTAGTACATGTTCCATTCTTGCATATCTCACTTTGGAAAGGGCATAAGGGTTCAAGTAAAACATGCTCCCTTAAAAAAATCGTAAATATTCGTTAATATTCGGTTCTGGTGACCACGAATAACGAATTGAATTCATGAAGGGCTACGGTTCAATTCAGCGAATATGTGAGTGAATCGTTACAGCCTTACAAACCAGTGAAGTAATAATCGATTTTAATTACTATAGCTGTTACAATTCATGTCAGTATTCTGTGAATCAAATTGTATCCCATCATGAATTCAGGTTGTTACTGGTCATTAGAATCAAATATTCACAGTGTTTTTTCACTTGGCCTCATCTGTTACTTAGCAAAGGGAGCTGGAAAAAATATAAGCCAAGCAGTAGCACAGCTTATGGTGCTGTGCCATAGACCCTTACAGTTCTACAACCCAAATATTAAGCTATAACTTATATAAGTGGCAATAACACTATACAGTTTTGTTCTGTGTCAAATAATTAATGTGAAATTGTAACTTTCACTGAATATAATACATAATACATTAGTTTTATTGTATTTGTGATATAGATATTAATATTCATTACCCTGTCTGTAGTATATATCATATTCGTCTCGTGTACTCGTTGCAGCACTAAATTGTTCACCCCTACCATGAAGTGTGAGCATGATAATCAGCATAAAACATAATCATGGTAATTAGCTTGACTGAAAAAGAGCTGTTATTCCTGAGTTGGTGAGAAACCTGCCAATTTGGAGCTGTTTCTGATGAAATATATATTAAATTAAATTTTTGGTGAAAAGGGTGTTGTGAAATATTTTCATTAAGTAGTAAGTAATGATATATGTAGACACAAATAAGCCAGAACGCTTTCTGTAGTAGTAGCACAGATAATTCGGTTTGCATTTCGTAGAGGTGTGACAGTATACAAGGGTACTTTGGTTAAAGCTTAAAAGCCACATGGTACATGTCTAAAACACTGCCTTTTCAGTCTTTGTTTCTTTCTTGCTTTCTTTTTCTGATTATCAATCAACAGCCTGAATATTATAAATCATATTACTGATATATAATGATGTCTGCCATTTGTTTGAAACTGTTTTTATCTATTACAGAATCTTAAATACATTCATCCCAAAAACAAACGATGGGAGTACCAAAGGTTGGAATCAACGGGTAAGATTATGCTACCTCTATCTCAGGCCCTACAAAATTTACCATTTTACCTTTGTTTTATTTGTAAAACTGTTTACTTCATCCAATTTCATAATGTTATTGATTACTAACATTGAATCAGCTGTTATGGGTAACAGTGGTTACAGCTATTAAGCAGCTGGTAAACCTGCTGGTTTTTATTTGATTCTGAATGTAAAACGAACCCCAACCCTTAAGATTATTAGCTATTTTCATGATTACATTAATCAACAGGTAAATCAGCCTGATGGATGTTTATCTTTTTTATCAAGAGAAAGCTTACCAGGGTGAAATACTGATGACCGGGTTAAAATAAGATCTCACTGATATACACACTTAAATATGATAATATTTTTTAATCAGTATGATCAGTATCTGACAAATCTTTTTAGGCTTAAAAAAATGTTGTAATTCTCATTACACGACTGACCCTTGAGTTCAGGTGCCAACCCTTTTTTGTTAAGTGGTATGAATAATATAAGCTTTCAGGCACCGACAGACATCGGTCATTCTGATAGAGAAAGTCAACATGATGGCCGCAAGCTTGATTGAAAAAACAATTACACTATTCTCAATCACAATTTTGTGGATGCCTTGTGCCACACTGTTCAGTTTACATTTCTGTTATGTCTGTGCCCTTATATTTTTCAGATTTGGTCGTATTGGTCGTCTTGTTCTACGGGCATGCATTGATGCTAAAGTACCCGTTGTTGCAGTGAACGACCCTTTCATCTCTCTTGAATATATGGTAATATATGAAACAAATATACAGATAAACATTTCAGATTTAATATTTCTTATAATTGAAATTGATATTAACACATGTAAACTTTATAAACAGCAAACAAGTGTGACATGTCACATATAACAACTTCAGTGAAAGTCATTGTGAAATACAGTCGGACACTGGAGCCGTCAGGTTGTAGCCTTCCATTAAACTGTCGGCAAATCTGCCGGATTTGTCCGAGGGTCCGACACTATTCGTAAACACTGCTTTTGGCCTTGAACATTTGCCGAAACACCAATAGTCATGGTAACTGAAAGCATTCAGGGCATTCAGAGTTGGATTAAGAATCAACTTGCATATTTTTTTCATGTTACAAATTTTCTGCCTAATCAGTGCCCTCCAACAAATGAAGACACTAGGGTAGCATTTGCATGTTACACAAGACCCAGGGGTTGTTACCCCACATGGGCACAGTGTGTAATGCCCATTTCTGCTGTTCCCTGCCATGATATATGTTTCCTTTCAACAAATTAAGCATATTCGAAGTAAATATGTTGACACTTTGTGCTTTGATTATAAGATGATGATTTGTCAATATCATAGTAACAAACAATACTCATATTTGCTATTTAATTTGTTTTGTCATGTAGGTGTACATGTTCAGATATGACTCAACTCATGGACGTTTCAAGGGGGGAGGTGTCAATGCGTGACGGCAAACTGATTGTCGATGGAAGTGCCATTGATGTTTACTGCAAGTACGAAAACAGAAAAACTTTTTAACTTCCAATAATCATTTTAAAGTTGTTGCATCATTAACTAGTACTTGAACGTGAATAATCAGCAATGTTTTTGCACTATTCAAAATCACTAACACTACGTCAACACTTACCTTGTTGGATGTGCACTCCGTACATTTAATGTGCAACAGCTACCTGTTTTAATATGATACATGTATATGCAAAGTCAACACTCAGATGATATTGATGCGGTCAGTTTGATATTGATGTTGTGACAGTCATTGTCAGCATGGTGAAAGGTGTAAAAAAAGTATACTTGAAAACATGGACAGAAATATGACTTCCTAATCTCAATATGTTTGTATTCCCTGGTTACCAGACAGCCCATTTGAATCCATTAGCATCAGGTTGATATTTTTGGGGCTTTTCATAAATCTTACACATTGCTTGTGTATATATCATGTTAAAGTAACAAAAGGTTTGTTATCACCTTCCATGTTGGGGGCGTGGTGGGCAAGCTGGCTAAGGTGCCAGGCTAGTGATCCATTGAGCATGAGGTGCCGAGATCGAGCCCACCTGTGACCAGGTATAAAATCCTTGGAGTCAACTTTGTGTGGAGACTCTTTCAGTGTTGTCACAACCCCTAGTGTACAGTACACAACCCAGTGTACTTAAAAGAACCCACAAATGCGTTGGTATATGACCAGATTGTGGTCACATGAATACTTGCAAACTGCTAGTTGCGGGTACAGCAACGTGCAGTAAACTTGGACAAAGTACTTTGACTGTGTCCCAGTCCTCCCGGCTGTGAATGGGTACCTCATAAGGATGTGAAAACCGTAATAACTCGGTGCGCCTTGTGGCAGCAAGAGTTGTATGCTCCCCAGGGAGCTGAGATTGATAATAAAATGTGCCATTGAGATTGACATGCCATGATCAAGGGAAAAAATACCAGCACCTTGAGCATGCACTATTGCGTGGATATGTACGCTATATAAATATCCAATAATAATAATTGTACCCACACCATGAACTCCAGAAGCTTGTTTTGTGTGTTTCAGTTTATGAAAAGAAGGACAAATTACAAATTTGATAATGATAACATTAGCGTAACAACATAGAAATTTTCGACTATGGCAGGCAGATAGATTTTTAAGTGGTAGCAATGATACAGCAAACATCTATATTTAGGTCAGCTGTTTTACAACATTTTTTTAGTCAGAAGCCATTGCTGCCTCATTTGTTCATGTAAACACACGCTTCGTATCTTGTAGGCGTGACCCTGCAGAGATCCCATGGGGCGACAGTGGAGCAGAGTATGTAGTGGAGTCCACTGGAGTGTTCACTGCAAAGGAGAAGGCTTCTATAAGTAGCATCCCCTGGCGGTGCCAGGATGTGCTGATCATGATGCATATACCAGTTTTGCCCTGATTGTGGTATTGACCTTTCAGTGTGGTGCTCAAGCACTTTACAACTTTTGTGAATTATTGTTCTGTATGAAAAAAGAAATGTGATCTTTGTATTTGTGAGATTCTGCTTGCTTTTCGACTGTGATGTGGGGTCCTGGTGATTTTGAGTTTGGTCTGGCATATTCATTTGGTACACAGATGAATGCCTATGTATTGAAATATTTTTCCTTGTTGCCATCTGTCGTATTCAATGCTGGCAATTAATTCAAATTGTGTTAGAACAGCTGACAGATACACAAAATGAAGGGATGTTGCAGTTGTGTATCAATCAATCATCATTGATCACTGCGTATGTTTGAAGTTCTTTACCGATCTGGAAATAATTTTTTCAAAAGTTTAGGAATAACGGGAAAACTTTTAATAAGGTCAACCATGCTGGATCAGCAAGGGAAACCAGAGTAACCTCCCTTCATTCATACAGTGATACATTCATACAATAGTTCATCATTTGACACACAGATTTTGAATACAGTTAGTGTCTAACTATGAATGCAGGAATTGCAAAATAATGGATCAAGTGTATGATCTAGACGCGTCTCTGCTAAAAACCTTTGAGTACAAGCCAAAACATGTCTCTCAGCTTAATTTGAGTAGAATTAAACGGATTACTGTCAGCTTAATGTCTACACTGAACAGAAATTTTCTAGCCTTGTGCTTCAAAGTAGTAGCTGAAATTGCTGACTATGAAGCACTACAAGTAGTGCTGTGTATTGGCAAATAAAATGTATTGCAATATATTCAATCCAGGTACACGTATTGTGATATATTGGGAGCTTTGACAGCTCTGACACGAAGTGTACATATCAGTCCTATTTTCTACATTATAAGTCCCTAGAATAGGTTATGATTCTGATAACAGCAATCTAAAAATTAGGTTGCATAATCAGGGATTCTATTTTCTTTTTTATACAATTTATTGTATTACAGTACCTCGTTTTGTCATTGAATAATGGAGGCAAACATTTGTTGTACATTTTAATTTAAACCATGAAGATTATCACAAAAACTTCAAACATGTTCTTTACCCAATATACCGGTTCTTAGAATTTTTTTGCAGTATTTCAAAAGTGTATTGCGGTATACCGCTAATACTTGGCAGTCCTAAGAAGAAGAGCAGTTCATGGTATCAGTTTAGGTAGTATTGTAGTCAGTGTTTCCCTTATCCGGTATATACTACCGGTACATGGTAAAAATGTCCGGTAATTTCAAAGGCTGTTGGTCATCGTGTCCAGGAAATATTTAAATCAATTTTCTAATTACCCCTCTCAATTTTTTTTCTTCTCGAAAAAGGTTACGTTTTCACAATGACATCGAGGTGTTGTCAAATAAATAATATTAGTTTTATATATAACCCCAGGTTAAAAATAGCAGCATTGACGCATTACGATACACTCTACATTTCTGATTGGTTGTTCGAGTGCAAGGTTTCGTGCACGATGAAAAGCGTGATCACATGACCGATACATTTACAGCCGTAAAAATGACACATGGTACTCAATTTTGCTGTCTTAAGATAAAATGGGATGCGTGATGTCTGCGTCTTTTGAAATGAAAGGGCAGACATATTGTTTGAAAATACTCATTCATGGTCTCGTATAAAAGATGTGTCATTTTGTTACAGAAAAAGTTTTAACCATAATGATAGCAGTATAACACACACAATATGAACAATTACTCAGGTACAGTCAAACCCCGTTGTGTCAAGACCAAGGAAACAATTCGGCTTATCAGAGTATTCGACACATCCTTCAGCATAGAAATAATGATAAATATAAGGAAATCTGCACGGACAGAAAGATAAGTTCGACACAACCGAGAATTCATTTCAACTGAGTTCTAAGCATTGGGGTTCGACAGTACATTATCCTGTGTACTCCACAGAGGGCTGAAAACGAAAATCACAAGATGTCAGATTATTGTTAACTGTAACAAAAGTTTAGAGATGTGAGCTGTATTTTGTTTTGTTGTATCATTAATTATACTTAAATGATGTATTTAGTGTTTGAAAATATTTCCTACTTATTCAGTATTATCATACAACTTCAAGTTTTCAGGTACTCAATGTGTGTTCTAATTTGTATGCTCTGTTTTATAAACCAAGAGTATGTATGTTTTTGTTTGTCCAGGCCCACTTCAAGGGTGGAGCCAAGAAGATCATCATTTCCGCCCCATCCGCTGATGCTCCAATGTTTGTGATGGGAGTGAACCACACTAAGTACACATCCGATCTGGACATTGTCAGCAACGCCTCCTGCACAACCAATTGTCTTGCTCCCCTCGCAAAGGTCATCAACGACAACTTCGGTATTGTTGAGGGTCTCATGACAACAGTGCATGCTTACACTGCTACACAGAAGACAGTGGATGGACCCAGTTCAAAGGTACTGTCAGTATGGATGATTACTACTGCTTCAAAAGTTGTCTGACCAGAACACTTAGGCCTTAAAAAAAAATGTTGAGGGTCTGATTACCCGACTGGCCCTTGACGTCTGGTGCCGACCCTAATGTATTTAAGCGGAATGAATAATATACGCTTTCAGATACCATTGTTTTTTCTCGGCACCAACAGATATCGGTCATTCTGATAGTCGATATGATGGCCGCAAGCTTGATTGAATACATAATACATTGATTAGTGTGTTATTAGTTTGTACTTTACTTCTTTAAAAAACAAAATTCCTACCTACCCGAAATTTTTAAGAGGTGTAATTGGAACCACATTTTTTTTATATGGCCTTAGTTTAGTTTTAATCCCAGTGTTTGTGTACACGATCTTAATCTTTACACAGACTACTTTTCTACTGTATTGACCCGTGAAGATCCGGGGTAGAATAGGTCTTCAGCAACCCATTCTTGTCATAAAAGGCGACTGCTTGTCGTAAAAGGCGACTGCTTGTCGTAAAAGGCGACTAACGGGATCGGGTCGGGTGGTCAGGCTCGCTGACTTGGTTGACACATGTCATCGGTTCCCAATTGCACAGATCGATGCTCATGCTGTTGATCACTGGATTGTCTGGTCCAGACTCAATTATTTACAGACCGCCGCCATATAGCTGGAATATTGCTGAGTGCGGCGTAAAACTCAACTCACTCACTCACTTTTCTACTGTATTAAATAATACTGAATCTTTGAATAACACATTAGCCATTTCCATGAAGTGCATATGAATATTATGACTTTTATATGTTTCTAACGCTAGGACGTATTTGGTTGAAGGTTTCTCAAAATCTGAAATGATGTTTTCTTAGAATATTTGGTGTTTAGAAGTCTGAGAGTCAGTTGTTTGCCAGTAGTTCATTATTTCCAGGCTTCTATTACCTGTGATTCAGGGGTGTTGGGGTTGCCTAGTGGTTAAAGTGTTCACTCATCATACCAAAGGCCTAGGTTCTATTGTCCATGTGTGAAACCCATTTATGGCGCTCCCTCGCCGTAATATTGCTGTAAGCAGCCTAAAACTCATTCACTATGATGGAGTATAACTGTATATCATCAAGTGTCTTACAACAGCTTTCCAAATAATTAAACTACCAGAGACCTGGTTCAAGGTTGATTCATATGTTCACATGACCCAGTATGCTGTTAGAATGGTTACAATAATTCAGTTTCTGAAATAAAGTCCTGTTTGTCTACTTCAAAAACACATGCAGTATCATTATTGAAAACTATATTGATGGTGACATTTTATCCTAGGACTGGGGGTGGTGGGGTAGCCTAATGGTTTAATCGTCCATTCGTCACACTCTCACTCACTCACTCACTCACTCACTCACTCACTCACTCACTCACTCACTCACTCACTCACTCACTCACTCACTCACTCACTCACTCACTCACTCACTCACTCACTCTCTCTATCCTAGGACTGGCGCGGAGGCCGTGGTGCAGCCCAGAACATCATCCCCTCATCAACTGGTGCTGCCAAGGCTGTTGGCAAAGTGATCCCAGAGCTCCAAGGGTAAATACTTCAGTGTCACATTGTGGGTTGATCAGAACAATTGTTCCTCTCAGTTATCACCTCTCTGAATTGTGTTGTGGGTATCAAGGGGAAGTGTTTACTTGTGATGATTCACAATCACAGCAGTAGCTGTCCATGGCAAGACAGCATCATTAGTTCACATTTGCCCCCAGGTACACTAAAAATACATTGATGTAATTTAATAAAATGGGTTTTAAATGGTACCTCAGCTATTTGCTCGATAATCGCAATAGAGCATGTTCTGGACCAAATGCAGTCAGTGTTAGTCCTGAAAATGGGGATGGTACAGGTCCTCATTAGTACTTCTTCCTAGAACTAAACCAATAAATATTGAAGTAGTTAGTATCCTTTATGTGTTTTGCAGTAGTACTGGATTATCACAACAGTGGAAATGATTGTCACTCTAGAAATAATTACAGTATTTCCATTCTTTGGTATATACAAGTACAAAGTTTATCCAGTAATTTCAAAGGCACTAGATCATTGTGTCCCGGCAAATTTTAAAATCAGTTTTCTAATGAAATCTGTTGATTTTATTTCTCCTTATAAAAAAAAAAACGTTTTCACAGTGACATAGTGGTGTTGTCAAATAAAAAAAATAGCAGTTTTGGAAAACCCCAGGCTAAAAATAGCGGCATTGATGCCTTGCTATTCCCTCTACATTTCTGAAGGTTGTTAAGGTGAAAGGTGACAATGCGCACAATGAAAAGCGTGATCACTTGACCGGTAAAATTTACAAATGACCAGTATTTGAAATGCTAGCCAGTCACAATGTCCAGCTGTTAAAAAATACCAGCAGAAACACTGTTAATTGTTCTTTGCATGTCTGGGGCGGTGGGGTAGCCTAATGGTTAAAGCGTTGGCTCGTCACGCCGAAGACCCGGGTTCGATTCCCCACATGGGTACAATGTGTGAAGCCCATTTCTGGTGTCCCCCGCCGTGATGTTGCTGGAATATTGCTAAAAGCGGCGTAAAACCAAACTCAGTCAGTCAGTCAGTCTTTGCATGTCTTGTTTTATCCTGGTACTCGTTGGAACCATTTAATATGTGTGGAAAGTAATATGTTTTACATTTTCTTCCAGCAAGTTGACCGGAATGGCTTTCCGTGTCCCAGTTCCTGATGTATCAGTTGTTGATCTCACAGTCAGACTGGAGAAGGGGGTAAGTATTCGAAACACTGTCTGGAAGTGATTTTAGAATGATCCACACTACCTTGTGATTTCCCATGTAATAGTATGTGTGTCTTGCAGTAGACTAACGCTTAGGTCCTGAATATAATATTGATAGTAACAAATAAACCCATTTAAACTGAAAAGGGGCCTCAGTGAGTAGGGAAATCTAGGCTTGCTTCATTTAGGGTTTTATCATTGCATGCAGGGCTAGGCAGTAGGGAAAATAATGCAGTTCAGGTACTGTGAGACAGACTTGTCTTGCACTAACAGTCTGTGATACGTTGTAATATATGTCTGTCTTCATGAAGGTGCACTAATGAATGGGAAAGCTCACAAATTCTTTTCCGGAGAACGGAAGGTCGCAGGTTCGATCCCCGACCACGTCATACCAAAAGACGTTAAAATATGGTACTTGTTGGTCCCTGCCTGGCTCTCGGCATTAATGGGTACAACAAGTTCTGGTCGGCTCGGAGTCAGTATAATGTGTCTGAGTGGGGTATTCTTGCTTCACTGCGCATGGTATCTCAGTGGTCTAGCACTATAAAACCAGCTTCAGTCTGGGCTAGTACAAGCAGCTGCACGTAGACATACACACGCATGCACGTCGTCATATGAGCGAAATATTCTCCAGCGCGACGTTAAATCCAATTTCACCTCACCTCACAAATTCTTTTCAAGCATGGATTTTCTGCCATTATGACTCATCTGGAAGGAAGCAAGCATTATCTATTGCAGTCCCAATGCTCAACCAACAATTATTTGAGTACCAACATCTGAACTTCAATGAGTAGTTATGATCAGAGCAAAAATGTAAAATTCTCCACAGCCAGGAAAATGTTCATGCAGTAAACGCAACTATAGTTTGTGAAGTTCTGGCCAGTATTAGTGTGGTGACCAGTTTGAATAACCATAACACATTTCCACGAATTTAGTATGTTTTGTCTGTTTTAGGCATCTTATGAAAAGATCAAGGAGGTTGTCAAGAATGCCTCTGAGAATGAGATGAAGGGAATCCTTGGATACACCGATGAAGATGTTGTATCACAGGACTTCCTTGGTGATGCCAGAAGCAGTATCTTTGATGCTAAGGCTGGCATTGCTCTTACCGATAACTTTGTGAAACTTGTTTCATGGTAAGACTTATTCTGTTAATCACTTGGTCAAGTTTTGATAAATATACTGGACAAAAATAGTTAGGGATGTATGCAGGGCTCCAGATAAGTGTCGTATCGGCATATGTACGGAAAAAAATATATGCAAGATACGGTAGGAAATAGTTTAGAAAGCGTAGCAGATAGGCACAAAAGCAATGGTGTACGGTCTTATAATCATTTACAGACATATTTATCTGAAAAAGTATTGTTTAATTGTTTATTGACCTGTTTACACAGAGTAGCAATGTTGTGGTGCATATATGAAACGAAACACAAGATTACTGATACGCCATTAATTTCCATTCAGTACTCTAAATGTACTCTTAAGGTTTTCCAGTACTCCTATATTGAATAAATAACGAGTACGTACTCCTGATCATGAAAAAGTATCTGGAGCCCTGGTATGTAAATTTTGAAGTTATGAATATTGATCTGTTTATTCATTGACACACTGACAAAATATCAATCACAAAAATACCAATATCCCTAACTTATTTTGTCCAGTATATGATTGTGTGGATCTGTTTTCATAGTTTAAGACTTTGGTTTGCATGGTCCAGACTTAAGGGTAAAGCAGCATGCACAACAAAATCTTCCATTGTGGGAACTGAAATTATGTTGGCTCTTTTCTCTCATTCAGCCACCACAGCTTCTACTGGGAAAGGGGCGGTGGGGTAGCCTAGTGGTTAAAGCATTCGCTCGTCACGCTGAAGGCCCGGGTTCAATTCCCACATGGGTACAACGTGTGAAACCCATTTCTGGTGTCCCCTGCTGTGATATTGCTGGAATATTGCTAAAAGCGGCGTAAAACACAACTCACTTACTCTAATGGAAAATATAAATTTGGCTGTCTGTTCCACTTAGGCTTTAAGTAGAAGCCATGATGGCTGAGTGGGTTAGATGGCTGACTTTGTATGCTGGCAATTAGGTGCGTGACTGAGAGAATTGGTTCGAATCCTGAATGGGACTCAAATGTACAAGAATCTGGCCTTTACTGAGAAATAATACGTATTGCATTTGACTAATTCCTAATGGCATTGTGCATTCATGCATTTTTCTTCTTTTCAGGTATGACAATGAGTACGGCTACTCCAACCGTGTAGTCCAGCTGATACAGTACATGTCGAGCCAATAAACACAAAGAACATTAACATGTTTAAGTATTAGCAACCAAAACTGTTTTGCTGAATACTTCAAAACTGGTAACTTGCCTCTCTTACAGTTGTCCTACCAGTGGCTCAATGTACATGTGTGTGTTGAAGTTTATTCAACCAAAAGAAAGTATCTTGCAGGGTAAAAAATGAGTCCCTTAAAAAAACATCACTTCAACACACAGTTGTTAGTTTGATAATGTTAACCCTTCATATAAATCTCTTCAGAGCTAAAGAGTGGTGCTTAAGATCTGAGATTGTGACGGTATCGCTCCAAAGAACTTGGTGTGCCATAAAAACTGTGGAGAATACAAGTGCTAGTTTATACAGGAGTTTTCCTTTTGTTTTTCCTTTGATGTATAAGCAGTGAGTTCATACCTGTACTACTAATGGTCTCTGTAATAAAAGATGTCCTTGTTGGCCCAAGTGTTGTGATGGTTACAACTAACTTTCAGGTGACCACAACTGTACACTGGTTCAATTACCATCAAGTGGCGCATGCACTGCTGGGCAATGATGGGTGATTGGCAGTGGGTTTGATTTGGTGGTTGTTTATCGCCATGTTCAGCAATATTTCAGGCATATGGTGGCGGTCTGTAAATAATCAAGTCCAGACAATGCTATTTGGATACGATGACATTTGGCCACTAAGTCAGCAAACCTGACCACCTGATCCCATTAGTCACCTCTTACGACAAGCGTGGGTTGCTGAATATGAAGACAAATTCTAACCCGGATCTTCACGGGTGACTGTCAGTGGGGCGTATCTAGGTATTGTAGATTTCTAGCCTCACTTTCACAAATTGACTTTAGTACTAGGAGTGAGTGTCGTAAGTCGATTACAGTATTGACTGGAACATAAACCCCAGCACTGTCTAGTGTTTTTAAATAGGGCTGGCTAAAAAAGATTGATAATCAGAAATATTGTTTGGAATTATTATCAATGTTGATTTATATGAATATATCACACCACTCACCAGTGATAAGGAATGTAATGATTTCTGTCAGACTTCTTTGGCATTTTGTCCAAAGCTACTTCTACGATATTCATTGATAATCAATCGGTATTTAGTGTATTAGAAAACAATTATTGATCTCTTTGACCTGTATCAATTGCAAGTCCTATTTTAAAGGATGAGAAGGCCATGATCATAAGCTTCATCAGAGTTGCATCCCTCGATTCCCTAAGTACCAGGACACCCAATCATTTGTGTGAATCCCACATTTGTCAGCCGCAAGCCTTCTTCCTGGATCACAAGAGATAGAATCCAGTCTGTGACCACAGACTCTGGATCTCATCTTGAAAAGAATTGACATAAAACATGCATTGGTCATGATTTATTATGAATCAAAATAAAGTGTATAGGTTCAGATGTGGGGTGATTTTTTATGGCAAGCAGATGTTCTTATCACAGTCACATAAGGATAACTCATGAATAGTGACTCCATGATAAAAATCATTTGGCTCAGTCTGTTGTCAAAGTCAACATTCAGTCCTGTTACTTATAAACAACTCATCAGTCATACCACTATTCTACACTGGGGTGCTTGGAACAAAATCAAAATAGTTGGTCTACTGATATCACCAAAATGAAACAAATGCGGACTCAACTTTCCTGTTCCGGGGAGGTTTCAGTAAACCAATCGTTCTTTCTCTCTGATGCTCAAACACACGCATTCAGACATGCTTCTCACAACTAGATTCATAGAAATTTGAGCTGAGACCAGTTTAAGACAAATAGGCATATTCTATCCTTGCACACAGACATACCCATATCAATAGGTTCAATCAGGAATGCTTGGTTTCTGCGCCAGTTGAATCATCTTATCGATTCCTGCAGCCGAGTATTATTTAAGTTTCTCGTTTGGTAATGATGGTTGCAATATTCAATACTTACATTTGTTTAGGTATGCGAGGTCTTTCATGGTTTAATAGCAATGTGCTGTTTTAGCAGTATGTCATTTCACTAAAAACAGCACCGCCGTGATGTTGCTGGAATATTGCTAAAAGCGGCGTAAAACCAAACTCAGTCACTAAAAACAGCTCTTTTTGTGCCGACCTGGACGTATTCGGAAAGATTGGCAAGTGTTCCAAATTAACCCCAATTCTGAGATCGAAAATATTCGTTGTGTTAATTCCTGAGAAAGAACTGGCCATTACCATCACCTGAACTTAAATTTCCCTCCAAAACACAAACATTTGAAACAAATAAGTAAACCCACTGGAATGCCGAATAAAATATATAACTGAGTATTTGTCCACGGCTGCTCTGGGAATACAACCACCTCCTCTTCTGTATGATATGTCATCCTTGGCGGAATATACCTGTCTCTCTTAATCGACACTTGTAACGCCCTATTCAAAACTATACTGAGAGCTGACTGCTCGTATCTATGACAACCCGTTGTCTTTGGTTTCCGAATATGAAAACAAACGTCATGTCGAGATCCCGACGGAGCGATGCAGTCCGCACTGAAAGCACATTTCAACCAAGGCTTCATCATCAGCTCCCAGGTCCTCTTTGACCTGAACAAAACCATTATGTCCGTGTCAATCATGCCGGTTTCCTTAAAGGCACATCGGTCCTCCCCAAGGTACCGGAACATCTCCGGATCTGTATAAGCCACGACGTCCACGTGAATCTGCAAATCCCACACCATGAAATCCCGCCAGCCTCTGTTCCGAATTACTTTAAGCGAGTCCGGACCTTTAAACCTGGCAGTCGGTTCCATGTACATGATGGATCCAAATTCGTCTAGAGTTGTCTGAAAATATTTAAGAAAGGCTTAAATCACAAATCGGTTATCCAGCATCGGAAATAATTCTACATTTACCTTAATACCATGGTGGGATTGGAAATGACAAGTCTTTACGGCATCTACGTGTACCGTTTTCACTGCTTGAAAATAGTATCAGTATCTATACCGAAGCGTCGCTGTTGAACAGTAAATAAGTTGATCAAACATAAAGACTTGTCATTCCTATTATATACAACTTCTTGAATGCCTCTCGAACAGTTCATTGTGGGATTATCAAACAGGCCCCATATCCACACAACGTTTCGTAGCGCTACGTCGTTCGTAAGCCAGTGATAAACTATAGAGTTACGACAGGTCGTAACATTACGAACGCTTTGTGGATCGGGACCCTGATGTGATTATATATGTTATTAAGCTGTTGTCAAATATCGACCTATGGTCTCTCGGGAATAATTTGCCATGTTACAGAATTTCCAGCGTTGAGAGAAGTATGGTACATAATGCAGTTTCCAACTTATGTGTTTCTCACTTAGGTGTTCTTTTGTAGGGCCCTGGGTGCCGTTGTACAAAGCGATTTTAGCGCTAACTCCCATACCTTAACATAGACTTAAGGTCGTCTTAGCGCTAAGGTAGTTTTGTATAATGGCATCCAGTTCCACAAAGCGATCGAAGCGCTTAGGCATTCGTAGCAGCCTATAACATAGACTGACGGTCATGACCCTGAGATCGGTATATTTTGGTAATACACCCCCGGGGGAATAGAACCCGCGTCTTCGACGTGAGGAAGCAACGCTTTACCCACAAAGCTAACCCAGCACCCAGCACCCAGCACCCAGCACCCAGCATACGCGAACAGCTTCATCCAGCAGCAATATTTAGTCGCCAAGAACGACCAGCCTCAATGTATCCTACAGAATGATAGCACACGTGTTGCAGGTGATCATTATCAGGTTTACCTGCAATATGATTGGTTTCCATGCATTGTTGCTGTAGTCGGCAACGTGGTTGGGGTAGGCGCTGGTGATGAACCTCCTGACGACACAGTTGCAGTATTTTTCCAACTGAAATAACAAAATATGACTTTTAAATTGTCCGTAAATGAACGTATGCTTCCTCCCAAAACATCAGCTGTCAACACATTGTTCACGCCATTGTATATTTAAGAAATACAGTTCGCTCTACCACCATGTATAGTGTAATAAATCACACTTTTGCCCAGAACTATTATAGTAAAAGCACGAGGACGCTTGCGTCCGAGTGCTTCTAACATCATAATAGTTCAGGGAGAAAGATGTTTTTTTATACCACTATACATGGTAGAGCGAACTGTATTTCTTTTCTAAGATGCCAAATTTAATACTTTCTAAGGATAATTACGATTAATTTAAGGCAGAAAACAAACGGCGGTGTCGGTGACCTAAATTAAGAATCCTCGCACAGGGCTAGCTGGCGCGCTGCTCTATTGATGTGTCTGCCCCCCTACGTTAAGACGAACGTTACCAGAAAAAGAAATGATAAACAGTTTCATGACGGTTTACGTTCGGATTAAATATCTTCTCTAAAGTATTTTAATTGCATCTTTGATTAACGTTAACCATGTGAACGTCGCATTTCTACTACCAACGTATGTTTAGATCAGTACATCCAGACGAAGCTGAGTAGTCTAGCGACATTCCACGATTGCATTGTGGGAATGTAAACATTGCGAACGTTACCGTGTCGCTGAAAACTTGCGAGTCGAATTGAGACATTTAAAATGTCAGAAAACATAAACGTAATGTTTCCACCAGTGATGTTAGGTGAGTGAAGCAACTGCAAATCAAGAAACGGGATTCAACGTCATTCAATTGTTACGTCATCAAAAAACTATACCGTCATCAAAAAACTATTATAACATCAAAGCACTCGGACTACCGTCCTCATGCTTTAATTATAATAGTTCAGGGCAAAACTATACTTTATTACAAAACACATTGGGGGAGAGCAAACTTTATTTCCTAATTAATTTATGCAAGTGACACCAGAGTACCAAGTGTTCACATCAAATATTGAGTGAGTTTGCACTGTTATCTTTGTTGTTGGGTTCCAAGTTGAAAACGTCTTCATTTAAGCCAACACGTCGTGACGTAAATGTACAACCGTATTTCTTCTATTAGATACACATTAGACTACTGATTACTGACTACATTAGAGCCCGGGCCTCCAATACGCGCTGGATCAACGCTTTATTGCAGGCCCAGATAATATCTCAAATCAGAGTATCTCACATCCTACATTGATACATATTATACATTATACTGTTGTTCTTTATCTCCAACATATCACTGTACTGGAGACTAGTGGTGGTCCGATTAATTGAAATAATCGAAGATTGGTCGCAATGACAAAACGACCAAGCAATCGATCATGTTTTCTCATAATCGAACACAAACAATTTTGGAACACTTGTTTGCAATAACAATATTTTTCAAAAGGTTGATTTAGTCTCTACATTTCATAAGAACTCAAGCTCGTTCCAAGTCATGATTAAATTTATCTTAACAACTCCAGGAAATGTATGTTCCTAACACACTAGTCATCCTTTAAAGATGTGAAATTTGCAAATGCATTTTGTGCAATTTGTGAAAAAAACGAGAGAACTTCATGTTTTTTCTTTAATTTTTGGGCAATAACAAACACAAACAGAAAAATTTGATAAATGACGCTAACCAATTATTTTCGATGATTGATCGGTTGTAATGAACCAATCATCAAATATGAGATTTACACCAATTCCCAACACTACTGGAAACCCGACATTCAGTGGCCTGTTTTTATTTTGGTAAACACGGTGTATGACGTGACGTCAATTAGATTCCAGACGTCTGTAATAAATAGAATTTTTAAACAACGAACCAGGCAACCATTTGTAGGAAAGAATCTCGTTCACATACTTACCAACTCAAATTCTCTTTTATATAACCCAACATCATAAATGACGAGGTTAAGATCTGGATAGTATCCTTCTATTGCCTTCAGGTGTTTGATAAGACCTTGAACTTGGTAGAACTGCGCAGACGACACAGCTGTGATGATGGTCGGGATGTTCGAGTCGTTGGGAACTTCATCCGTGTGACCCTTCTCCGACGCGATTCGGACAATATAAGGCAAAGCTACTCCCCCCGGGGTAATTCTCCACCTTCTTGGAGTTCTCGCTCTGCATGGAACTAAAAGGCTCTTTACAGGGTTCCACAGTGTCGGCCTCTTTCGTGACCTTGAAATAGATCATGGTGTAGGTCACGCTGTAGTACATGCCGGCGAAGATGAGGACCCACATCGCACAGGAGACCACCATCATCGCCGCACTCAGCGGGAACTTCTGCCGCAAAATGGCTGACCTGTCGTAGAAGGCGTATTCTTTCCCCGTCCCCGTCATCTGAAAGGGGAAATATAGTTTTTGTCAAATTTATGCAATAATCAGGTGGGTGGGCAAGTGATTAAATCGTATATTTTTATTCTCTCTCTATGGTCAAAGTAGCTCAGGTTTCACTGGACTTGCCTTCCTGTAAATATTTTATCATCATTATCATCATCATCATCATCACGTGAAACCCATTCAGTGCAGATTACGGGATGGAGTGGATAAAGCATTGATCCGAATCAGGCCGAATATGGGATTCGAACTCACAATTGTTGCATCAACTGGCGAATCTGCTTTTGTAATCGGGTATGGATAGCCCTGTCGTCTAAGGCGCCCTTAACCTGTCCTACAGTCCCTGAACCACATAATTTTCCCTACTGCCAAGCCCTATCTGCAGTGCTATTTAAAGCCCTTAATAAAGCAAGTCTAGATTTCCTCAGGTCTAAATCTCTTGTCTCCCTGGGGCTCCTTTTCAATTTAAATGGGCTTGTTTGTTACTATCAAAATTATAGATATTCAGAGACTAAGCCTTAGTCTACATTTCCCTGCGCAGAGTTGCGTCCCTTTGGAGCGCCAGAAACCTGTGACTGTTTTCATCCGTGTCACAGTGAGCGAGTGAGTGAGTTTCATAATCCTAGCCCACTGAAAGTCCCAATTTGAATTAATGTTAGTCCATTGGGGAACCAAGGAGCTATTTAACATTGACACGCCACTCAGTTGCTATATAGACTTTGACCCCACCAGTCCTTCTTTTATCCCCTTAATGCCCTACGCCAGGCAGGGTAACGACAAGTACCACCTTTCAACGTATTTTGTTACTCGACCGGGGATCGAATCACCGCCCTATCGGGAGACGCTCTTTCCACTAGACCTCGGAACACGAGTTAGACGCGAAGGGGTTAACTGAGCTGTGTGCGGACATTGTTCTTGACCTGGAGAAGGATGCATTATAGAAGAAGGTTTACTCCGCGTCGTTACTCAAGCTGAACGTATTGACGTACAGCTGAGAATTCCTTTGATTTGGCTGAAGGCGATATGTGCTGACTCACTCTCACGCACCCACACACTCACATGCTCACACACTCACACACTCACGCACCCACAAAGTAGCCAGGTAATCGAACCCATTATGTTCGTCCTGTCGCGGCCCCTGTCGCAGGTCAAATCCGATTCCGAGCAGCTGATGTGATTTAAAGGAAATATACTGAAGGTAAAAAATAAGGGAACATATGAAAATAGATCTTTTTCCAGGTTTCTTCGCAAGCTTTGTGTTACATTGAGGGTGAAAATCTGACAATAAATGAAGGAACACTGCGATGCAGTTGTACTCCGGATCCCTGAGTCTGTTCTCTCAGTAACTGATACAGCTGATCACCTGTTAAACATGCAGTTACGGGTGTGAACTATTAGTTTCTAATTATGCGTAATAACCAATAGTCGTTGCAATCAATATGCATTACTACCACTAGTCATTGCTACCAATAGGCATTACTACCAATAAGTGAGTGAGTGAGTTTAGTTTTACGCCGCACTCAGCAATATTCAAGCTATATGGCGGCGGTCTGTAAATAATCGAGTCTGGACCAGACAATCCAGTGATCAACAGCATGAGCATCGATCTGTGCAGTTGGGAACCGATGAGATGTGTCAACCAAGCCAGCGAGCCTGGCGGTCAGAGCTGTTGAATGCATCAGCTTTGTGTCAGAGGATGGTCTGAAGCGATACAGGTCTTTGACGTTAACCGCTTGTGGTCAAATCCACGATCACGGGAAGGGAGATGCCTGGAAAGCATTATTGATCACAGTTTTCTGACACGCCCAAGGGACGCAACTCTGCACATCCAATCGCGCTTCGGAAACGACAGGGCCACCCCTGAAGTGATCCCGGATGTCGACACTGATCATGACTACCTCGTCTCACAATAACAGCTGTGAGGTCTGCATTCATGCGGAACTCCTCCACGAGCGATCAGCTTGTGACGAGGGGACGTCTCCTCTGCTTTTCGCGAACTGGCCGAGTTTCGGGTGACAGTCAAGCCCACTGCCAAGGTGAACATGTCCAGACAAATATATGCCCAAAGACAAATGAAGCTAGGATTACACGATGTATGTATGTTTACTGAAAACTGAAATCAATAAAGCTATGATAGCCTGGTGTGATAAGCGAATCATGTCTACCTTAAAGGTTGAGGAATTTCATTCATTCATTCATTCTGCATGATGTAGCGTAAACAGAGGCCCTGTTCGGTTTCATTCATCTATCTGACAAGAAGTGATAGCATGTTTAGTGAACGTAATACTGTATAATAGTTCAGGATTTTCCTGGTCAACATCCGGCTCATACCTGAAAACGTACCACTAGACATAGACCTCAAATCGACCCAGCCCTCAAGGAACGACATACGGTGAAATAACTGCACAAAACGATGATATTTTCACCCAACGTGATTGTATACAGGGACATGTACAGGATATGAAGGTGCCTACTTTGCTGTCTGTGTGGCGCGTCGTTCATGTAACGTTGCTGAGAAAGAACCAGTTGTTTGGACATTACCAACAACACGCTGTTTATAATATCAAAAGGGTTAACCTGGAGCGATCGATACATTACACAGCCCAGTTAACCACTCTACTAGCTCGTCAACAAGGAAATGGATGCTCGTCTGAAACACTTACCTTGAGTGTCTGGTCAGCAAGTGATTTGATTTTTCAAAATGTCTTCAGATGTTACAAGAATAATCCTTTTCTATCAACATGTTCAGGCGCAACCTCTGTGTGTACAAATATATAGCGTGTTCACAGCACCCTTCGTCGTTCAAACTTGCCCAGGTACAGTTCAACCGGTCTTGCACGAATACTTCCGCGAATGTCTTCACTACCGTTATAGCGAGGGATGGCTGTAAGTCATTTAAGCGTTACGCTTAGCAACTGCTAACAATCGAGGTTGCCATGGGCCACGCGGTTGCTACGTTGACTCATTGGTCATGTTAATTAACGCGGATTGTTGAAAAGGCTGCTAACTGATTTATCTGTTAACAATAGATAATTTTCAATGATGTTAATGAAGTTACTAATTAGTGGTAACAGTTTATATTAAAATGCGTTGAAGAACTGGCGGCGAGATGGCTGTATGTGTGCGATTCTAGGCTGCAACAATGTTGAAGGAAAACAGGTTCTATGGATAGTCATCTTTTTCTTCTTTTTTCTTTTTTTTTTTGGGGGTGGGGTGCGACGTTTCGGTACTAACACCGGTATCAATGCCTCTAGAGACGTTACACCAATCTTGCTGGTTTATGACAAACATTTTGCAAGAAGTGGATAAAACACTAAAGTCATCCATCCGTTCATTCGTTCGTTCGTTCGTTCATAGTACATATATACCAATACACCCCAGTCTACAATAGTTGACAGCAGCAACAATCTGTCACACAGACCCGGAAACTATATCAATACACCCCCATCTACAATAGTTGACAGCAGCAACAATCTGTCACACAGACCCGGAAACTAGATCAATACACCCTAGTCTACAATAGTTGACGGCAGCAACAATCTGTCACACAGACCCGGAAACTATATCAATACACCCCAATCTACAATAGTTGACAGCAGCAACAATCTGTCACACAGACCCGGAAACTATATCAATACACCCCAATCTACAATAGTTGACATCAGCAACAATCTGTCACACAGACCCGGAAACTAGATCAATACACCCTAGTCTACAATAGTTGACAGCAGCAAAAATCTGTCACATAGACCCGGAAACTATATCAATACACCCCAATCTACAATAGTTGACATCAGCAACAATCTGTCACACAGACCCGGAAACAACTATAACTATACACTCCAGGCAACAGTTGACAAATCAATATAACAAGTTAATGTTGCAGATATTGTAATAAACTAGTTGTTTATCCACAGAAATACCTCATTGTACATCTATATAGATAACTGTAGTTATAGCCAATAAAGACTCTCCGGCCTCCCGTTTTCATATGTTTAATAAACAGAATTTAATTCTCTTTCAAATATTTCATTTTGCAAGTAGAGATACGTCAGCATCAGCAGCAGTATATCATGACTACAAAAGGTGTATATTAATAAAGTCCAACTTAGATAAAATTGATACCTGTCAATGAAAGGCAGTAAAAGCACTAGATATAACAGAGTTTCTATAAAAACTAGTACGTAACCATAAAAATATAGTACTCTTAACAACAATACAATATGAAAACAGGCTGTAGATCGCCAACATCCGAAGGTGAGGTTAGGTGAGGTGAAACTGGGTTTAACGTCGTGCTTGAGAATATTTCGCTCATATGACGACGTGCATGCGTTTGTATGTGTATGTGCGGCTGCTTGTACTAGCCTAGTCTGTCGTACAGACCCTGAAGCAAATATATGCAAGAAAGCCCACGCAAGTCTAGAAAATGTGGCAAGTCTAGATTTCCTCAGCTTCTGAAAATGAAGAAAGTCTCAGGGCTCCTATTCAGTATATATTTTTTTTACTATGAACTTTCCTCAGTAAAATAGGATCATTTCAGAGACTAGTTCTTAGTTTAGTACTAGCCCAGACTTAAGCTGGTTTTATAGTGCTAGCCCACTGAGATACCATGCCGCAGTGAAGCATGAATACCCCATTCAGACACATTATACTGACTCCGAGCCGACCAGTCCTTGTCGTACCCAGCCGAGCGCCAGACAGAGACCAACAAGTACCATATTTTAACATCTTTTGGTATGACGCGGTCGGGGATCGAAACCACGACCTTCCGCTCTCCGGGCGGACGCTCTAACCACTACACCACGGAGGCGGTCACATCCGAAGGTAGATCACCACACAGGATACATTGACAAAGCCCCCGGGACGTGAGGAAAAGAAACGTGACTGCACTTTAACCACAAGGTGATCGATGTCGACGGTGTCCTCCCATTTGTGAGAACTCCCAGTTGTGAGACACATTAATTAACACACAGGTGGTGCTTCCTCATCCCTACGATAAAAAATGGGAACAGCCCTGTTGCTGAAGAGTACCCACAGGAAGCATAGTTCATTAATGAGTATATCAACCCAGAAGACATTGTTCGTAGAAGAGCATTTATTGTTTTCAATAGATACTGAAATACTGAAAAAGATTATCGTGAACTGGTGATATATTCTACTTGTTGAAGGCCTGCCATAATGGTGATCGGAAAGTCAAAGGTTAATAAATACATTTGGATTATTTATAGTTTCAACAGTTATTGCTATATTTTTCAAACACGTAAATATGAGTAGGTAAATTAATTTCTCTTTCAAATGATCACAAAGTTACCTACACAAAGTGTTTGTTTTAAAGCCATTTACCTGAGTAGGTTAATTACTTTATCTTTTAGAGTTTCATTAAGTTACCTCCACAAGATTCAGTTAAATAGCTAATCCATAATTAGCTGGGGTTAATCCATTCTATCAGATAGGGGAGTAAGGTGTGTCTTCTTTCCTAATTACCTACTCCACTGTCTCACAACTGGGATTCTCTCAAATGGGAGTTCTCACAAATGGGAGTAGACCATATCGACAACTGCGATTGCTCTGTTACGCATTGGAATCAGCGCTGGAGATCAAACTTCATATGAATCACAGTGAAAAGGGCGAATGACAAGGCGGGCGATTCGACACATTCAGTCAGACCCCCATTCGTGACCAACTCGTGTTATTCCGGGACAAGCCGAATAGCGACTCGTGTCCCTCTCGAAGGATTTCATATTGGCGCATGAACATCAGAACTTCTTTAAACAAGAACGATAACTCTATGCCTGTTTGATACCAATGTTTCTTGACATCACCGAAGTACATGTACATTGCTAGGTTGTTGTTCTGGGTTTTTTTTCTTATCTATTTTAAAGAATTAAACCTCTTTGATACAACTGAAAGAAGGAGAAAAACATTTTTTGTGAAAGACATATTCTTATGTAATTATTACCAGCTGTTCACCTTATATTTCCAATTTTCTAAATAAGGTTTAATAATCACGAATGGGAATTGTTTTATTGAATATACAAATAAAATAATATTTTTTCAGCTACATTAAATCCCAAAGCAGATGCTTAAAAATGACTTTGAAATATTTCTCAAACTGAACATTCGTGTAACCTTGCTGTCACACCCCAGGTGGAATTTCAAATGAATTCGCTGAAAACAATATGAATGACCAAAAAACAGTCAGACTAAAATATCCCCAGAGCTATGAAAGATAAGCCCAATGTTAAAGATTAAGGTTGATTAGTTACATACAAATACGATATTATTGTTTTGAAACTCGTAGCGATTATAACTGCAGTTCCTAAAATTGGTCGAAGCGCACGTACAATCTCCATAACAAGCCGCAAGCTGGTCAGAAATACACTAAGTGTATTTGAATCTCTCGCGGTCAATCGCATGATTCTTATTAAAAACTTCATAATAGGCAGCAAAATCCGTTCAGCTACGTTCTTTGTACTTTCAATATGACGATATATATTTTCCATGATTCTTTAAACAATGACATAATGCCATAAACGATTTAAGTACTCGGGATTATTTTTATCAAAGCACCGCGCACATTTACGCGCGTTCTGATTGGTTTGTCGTATTTTCGCACATAACAAGTATCGAGTGGGGGACGAGTCTTCTTGTAGGTTACGGAAAGGGGCGAGTGGTGACGAATGTCAGACCCCAAGACCCTTCCTGACCTCGAGATATAGAATTGAAGTCTTGGTGAGAATAGTCGGACCTAAAAGGTCAAAAAGTAAGACCGAGGGACGATACGACCCGATTCGAGGTCGTGAACCAACTCACGACTCGCCATCTGCTAAAGACTTACCCAATGAAACATGTTTATCTGATACCTATACCCTCTTGTAAAATGAACTGGTCCAACGCCCAGCATCCTAGTACGTGCAGCAAAGACATTGCATGTA